TGGGTTAAATGAAGTCCGCATCCCATTGTTCTTCTTTAGCAGCTTGAAAAGGGCCCCATAATGCAAGTCCCCAACCAGCCAGTCATCGCTATGACTCGATCGTTTCTTGTGTTCAAACGGCTTTTGCACTCAATTTTTTGCTGTTGAATCTTCCTGTATCCCTTGAATCTCCTTGATATCAATAGGTTGTTGCTATCTAATCCTACATCCCTCCCATCAAAATCATCAAAGTGGAGTGTCCCAAACTGACCTCAATCATTTCATGGTTGGCGTGGCCAACCTGAAGCTCCAAGCAAGACCAAGGAGCTTATCACGTTCGGTTTTCATACCAAACGAGGAGCTTATTCCCGTGCATTGCCACATGATATCTTGGTTGAAAATCTCACCTGCCTGCGGATCTTCACAGTGACTAATGGCATAGGCGGCATAGTACAGCTGACCATCCCACAATATCAAACCACCTTAGGGCATGGGTCAATCTCCATATTGTTACTATATTACTATTTGTAGTAAGCTTTTCTCAACCTCCCCAAGTTCAAGGGATGCGAACAACATACTGTAGACCCTACTCACCATTTGACGCACACGGCCCAACGATGCGCGTGTCCCAGGAGCTGAGATCACCTCCTCTAAGCGCTTCGCTAAGCCCTGCAGTGCCTCTGCCTCCGGGGACGGAGAAGTCGTCGGCGGCACGAAGGCGGCGCGCAGCGTGTCCAGATTCTGCAAGGCCTACACCGACACGGAGAATTTTGGTCATCACGTTCTTTTCTCGTAAAAACATGTAAAAAACATGCCAAAAAATTGGAGACATCTGGAAATTGAGAAAACATGGAAAAAATGATCTCAAAGTAGTTTGTAGGTTTACATCGGGTAAGCCCAATACCTCATAGCCAACTTCAACATTTCAGAGCGTTTAGCCGTTTAGCCTTAACGATTTCAAAATATTGAAAGTATTGTTTCTTCAGTACCATGTGACCATGTCTAACCAAATCAAAAGATGTCAAATCATGGTTTCTAGGTGACGACCCCGGAATACACTTTGGTTGATCAATTAGAAGGTTACCCCAATATCTTGATAATTAGCTAGTAGATTGGTACCACCCAGTTAAACAGGCCACGGGTTTGTCAATCCGGGGTTGGTTGTATTAGTATGTACACATCCCCACATCTGTTGGCAAGTATCCTGCTTGGTGCTTCAGCTCCCCTGAACATCCCTGAGCCATATTTAGTCAACGGAGATTATCAAATAGGACGGAACATCAACAATTTCAAACCGCTATCCAGTATCCACACTTGGCGGTCAACATGTGCCATTTTTAGCCATTTTTCATGAGCTGTCACTGCACACCTCCGGCAACAGGGTTCGTGCTTCGAAGATGAACTGCCTATTAATTAGTGGCACAACCATTCGGTAGAGTGCACCAAAAATGGCGATGTGTGATTTTGGCATTGCTCCATTGGAAAGGGTTGACAAACACCAGGCTGATCTTTTCAGGGTGCTCCAAGTCCATCATTTGTTTCCACTGTGTGCAATTCCTCATATAATATCGAATAATCACATGTTCGAAATCATATGCTTTGATATGTTCCTCTCATCCAACTGTTCCAGTGAAAACATTTGATCAATTTTTATCCATTTATATTTGTTGGATGTTCACAACCATTCACAACCCATTTTTACCCAGGCTTACCCTTTTTTTAAGGGAGTTTCACATGATGCCCTTAATGGAGTTCCGGGCCATTTTTGAGCCCAATGCTCCACCCTATCTTGACCCATGAGAATATCTTATAGTTGGGAATACGTAAAATTAATTAATTTGCACGCAATTTCGGGTATTTCATATGATTTCATATGATTTCATATGATTTCATATGATTTCATATGATTTCATGGTATTTCACATGGACAATGCCATTGGATCTATTCATCTGTTCAGCGTTGCGCTGGCGGGGCAACAGCTATGGCTGGGCCGCCAAGCTCGCATGTCACGAATGTGCCTTGAGCACCGCCAGCCGGACATGGGCAAATCTCAGGCGCCTTCCATCATAAAGAGATTTACTGGGATTTAAGAAACAAACATGGTGATGTTTTTATGGCGATTATACAATGGAATTCATATATATATATATAATATATATATATAATATATATATAATATATATAATATATATATATGTATTATATATAATATATATATATATATGTATTATATATATATGTGCGTGTATAATGGGAATTCATGCGGATTATAATTTATAGCTAATTTGTGAAAGTTTACTTGGCGCAAGCAATTTCAATAACTTACATTAACTTACCAGATAGTGCCCGGCACGCGCCGGGGCGGAAGTTTCGAAAACCGGAACTGACTACAGTATAAGAAACCAATGGCCTATAGGAAAGTTTTGGCGATGCAAAAACAATGAAGTCTTGAAATTGTGAGGTGCATCCACGAATGAGCAAATGGTGGTGGAGATGCCAATGAAATGATAGAATCCGTGCGCAGCTCACTGAATGAATCAGTAAATCAATGAGTCAATGATTCAGTGATTCAATGAATGAGTTAGCGCATCGATGAATCAATGAAACAGTAAACCAACGGGACAGTGAATCAACAAATCAATGAATCAACGACTCAATGGCTCAACGTCTCAATGGTTCAATGAAACAGTAGCGCAATGAGACAGTGAAACAATGAGTCAATGATTGAACAATTCAGTGAGTCAATGAACCAAAGCATCAATGAACCAGTGAATCACTAGTCAATCAAGAAAGCAATAAGTCAAAAAGTCAATGATTCGAAGATTCATTGAGGCAATGAATCATCCTTGCTTGATGATTCAACGAATCAATGAATCAATGAACCCATGGTTCATCGATTCAGTGAGTCAGTGAACCAACGAATCACTGAATCATTGAATCAAAGAACCAAGGAACCAATGGATCAATGAAATTTGCCAAATCTCATCCTCCAGATGTGCTCCGCTCCCCTGGGGTATTCTTGTGATTTCGAAGTGCAAAGCACATGCTTTGAAATGCAAACCAAGCTCTCGCTACAGGCTCGTGCGCATTAAGTGCTCTGAACGGGACTATGTTTAATGTTGAACCACTTCGGCGACCGCAGGAGCCACATTACACAAAAAAAACGGGTTTCGCGTTGAGAGTTTCTTCACCCGTGAATTCACACGTTCCCGAACTGTTCCACTTCCCAACTATTTGATGATGGGTGGTTGACATGATTGTGTGGTTGACATGATTGTGTGGTTGACATGATGGTGGAAATGCTGCGCTGACCATGACAATCGTCCGTAGCTCGGAAGTGTTTCAACTAAACTTCCTTTGAATGACTATGTGGATCTGAGGGAATATATCTCTACTGAACGGTTTTTTTGGAAACCAACTTAGCAGTGGGGACACCACCTTTGTACAAGTCCATGGGTATTCTAGGATAACACCCCTATTCCCATAAGATCCAAAAGCTTCTTTTCCGGAATATTGAATACGGGTTTCATATCATGGGAGTAGCGTGGGAGTAGTCTGGCAATAGGGGTCCCAACATTGGGTGTCCCTATCATTTCCACCGAGCAGAGGTGGTGCCTCAAAGTTATGTTTGTTAGTTTGGTTCCCTTCATTAACAATACATAATTGGCATCTACCAAATATTGGTAATTCCTGGTAATTCAACATTCAGCCATAAAAAAAATCTGGTCTTCCATAGCGCATGTTGAATTTCCAAGGGAGTTTTTTTTCCTCACACCTGGGCAATCCCATTGTCTATGCCGTAAGATTCTAGCATACACAGGTGTAATTTTTTTTGCACATTAATATTATAGATCCAGTACTCAACCAAGGTTCATCGTTTATAGGGGAGTATGTAGAATGTATGTAGATTTTTGGGGCGGGATTACAGAAACCATGGGCTGTTAATGACTATGATTCTTTGCTAACGATGCAGCATTGCGCTCACGCAGTACGCTGTCTGCTTCCATTTCCTTGGGAAGAAAACAAGCGCATACTTTGATTATGGAAATTATTTGTATCATACTTTGGTACACATAGTTATGTCATACATCGTTTCCATACGATTATACTATATTTGATCATGTTTGATTATGTACCGGTATAGATACTATAGTTGTATCACCTACGTATGGATTCACATGGATCCACCACCCAATCCAGCAAATCCACAATCGACCGCACAGCGGTGAAGCTTGAAATAGCATCAGTTCCAAATGGAAAGAGACTGGGGCAACTACCCATGGTGAGCAAACAATTCCGGGGGAAGTGGCTTCCTTTGCCCAGGTTCAGGCCAGAATGACATCACGGGCAGAAATGGAATAAACAATCCCAAAGCATGCAGGGATGGAGAATGCGGGTGGCCAATGGGTTTCCACAGCCAGGCAAAGGTTTTAAAAGATTGTTGCCGGGCTGTGAAATGCCATGTCGGGGACCAATGAAAAGAATCAGACTTAAAGCGAACTGATTTTAGCATAGCAACCCGCACTTGGTGGCCTTTGACCCCCACATCTCATCGAGGATGAAAGCTATGACGCTCCACGCCATAGCTTCCAGCTCCACATGGAGATTAGATTACAGCGTGAAACCCTCCGGATAGGCATAGCAGGGAATAACTCTGCGTGAGCTGGTGGTATTTGTACATATATTTAGCGACGTTTGGCCCAGAACACCTAGTTGTGATATGAAGGGCCTTTGCGGCATGAAACCTGCATCAGTTGTGAAATTATTTCACTTGTCATCAATTGACATGAAATGATCCTGACACTATCATCAGTGGTAGCATCACGTGCTGTCCAGCTGTCCGCAAAAAAAACTATTCTCATATCAATGGGATTTTCAGGATCCTAAAATGGAGGTACTGTACCATATAAGGCCATATTTTGTGGGGATCATTCTATTCTATGATGCAATATGTGTGTACAGCTCTCACACCACTGAAAAAAATGCAAACTGTCGTCAAAATATCAGTTTGCAAGGACGAACAAGAGAACATGAACTTCCCAAACTCAACTAGACCACCAACTCACCAACTAGATGACTAGATGAGTTTCCCAAATGCTCCTAGAAAAAATATGTGCTCACTTTGTTCACTGCTCAGGTATGGCAGCCGTCTACCTCCAGTCACCCAAAGAACCTTGGTGAGCAAAGGATATGCACGGATGCGGGATATATAAATATATATATATTCGGTACTCTTCAGCAACTAAACTGGCAATGAAAACTTTCGATTTTTTGAAAATGTAAAACACCTGAAAGAGTTAACTTCCACCAAAATGGTGAGACGTCAGATCGACCCAAGTGAGGCACGTGGGAAGCACCACGAATCAAACCGTATCAGGAGTGGCCCAGCGAACCGGTTCTACTATTCTTCTGGCATATTATGGCATCTCATGGCACCATTTCCGTTGCTTTTCCCTCTTTGAAACATTTTTCAAACATACACACACATATTGTATATATATATATAATATGTGCTGGGTTCTGAAAATGGGGGATCCCCAACACCATGGGTTTCAATACCAAAAAAATGGATGATGTGGGGGTTCCCCCATTTTAGAAAACCTCCTCACCTTCCATGGTGGCCGCGTGTAGCCACGAAGAAATATGACACCATTGAGATGCTTTGGACTCGGGAGAATCAGCTGTTTGAAGTGGGGAATTATTGAATACCCTCCGGTAATTTCAGCTATTGAAAATCACTATCTTCAATAGATAATCAGGTAATCATTTACCACCACTATATCAAATCATAGTAAATTTCACTTGCCACCCTGAGTTTGCCACCATGTTGTCATAATGTCGTCCCCTTGTAGGATGTTGGTTGAATCACTGTCATCCCGCCAGTCGAGTTCCCGGCGGCCATAATAGCTACAAAGGAACCAAAGAAAACATGGCACATGTGGACTACCCTCTGAGAATCAAACATGAGAATGGACATCTCCTATAAATGGACGTTTAAATTGGCAACATCATATAAACATTGGTGATGTGTCATACACCTTTTGCAGGGACTATTCAAGTCACAACATTGCAGATATAAACCACCGATAAGGTCTCCGCATATGGACTAATTTAGGATAATTTATATACCTGACTGAGCCTGACTGGGCCACTGTTCTTTTTCGCTCTTTTGGTGTATGAACTTGCATGGCCAAGTGTTTGTAAAATCTGATGAAATCCTCCTGCTCGAATGATGATTATCCGACAGGTTTGCATATGTTTGCAAGGTTTGCTTCAAACTGATTAGATAGAGTTTCACACATCTGAAAAAATCGCTCGGCGTCACCATCCCAGTCATATGGCTGAACACAAACAAGTATAGCAAGTGAAACCATCAAACATAGATACATTGTTAACTTATATTGCCATATATATATAACTATATAACTATATATATATATGGTCATTTTGTTCCCTTGGATGACGGCTCAATCACCATGTAACATTTAGATTGTTTTCTGGATTCCATGGCTCCGGTAGTCCATTTCTGCTGAAAAAGCCTCCGGTCATCAGTTGATGGCTGGAACATCCCTCAACTTGGGTAGTCCATTCACAGCTTTTTGAGTTCGGACATGTCTCGGGGGATGGTTAGATGATCCTATTCCAATAGGAAATATCCCTTCTTTAAAATATTCCCAATCATGATATCATATTCCCACTATGGTATCATTAAGTTCCAGGTATATCTCTCAAGTCCCATGAAATTCCCATGAGACATGCCTTAACTCCTGTTATTCTACATATTAAATCCCATTATTTGCTGATGGTTCATGGGAGTAATATTCATGTATTAATGTAGATTTAAATATAATGCTGCGGATATGTCATGTAGATGACTTAAGTCTTAAGTATCAGTATCATTCATTCCAATATTATACCAATAAGTATCGAACTTAAGTATGAATTATGTACTTCCCATGTTTTCAAGTAATTGACAACACCAACCGTTGCCCAGGGCCTAGGCGGCCTAGGCGGCCTAGGCACCCGCAGGCCAGCTTCGATCGATCCCCTCTTCATTCGACGCAGCTGCTGCAGTGTTCAAGTTATTCGCGCGACTACCCAAGACATTGCGCCAAACACCTAGGAGAAACATGGAGAAACATGGGGAAATTAGACATAAAATGTCTAAGACATAGCTTAGAGGCTTAGATTGCTTAAATGGAAAGATTAACCGCACATCTAATCTATCTTACAAAACATAATCAGTGAGGGGGTTATGAGATCAAATAGATAATTTCATGGGATTTCATGTCTAGATTAACTGGTGAGATATTCTAGACATGATTCGCCAGTTGGGGGCATCATATTTTCAAACAAACCCACATGGATTTGACTACTAGAAATGAGGATCAAGGAGGGTTTCACCAACATAGGGATTTCTCAACATATCATATAAATAACGAAATCTCACAAATACTCGCACATAAATTAACAATTCTTGAATATCATCATATGTCGGGTTTCAATATTCGGGGTGTCAAGCCAAAACTGGAATTTCACTACCAGAATGTCAGAATGTGGACTATTAAATAGAATCGGCGCAGTGTACACACAAACATGCAGAAATTGCTGCTTGGGTGGATTTACTCTTTTCCATCTTTTATGGGATCAACCTCGATGGGTCAGAATTCGGTACGCCAAACTGGGTACCAATACACCAAGTGCTCCAACAACTGGACGACTGGACGACCCCAACTGAAGAAGTTGCAGCCCACAAGGGTTCAGCCACAGTTTTGAAATCTGATCATCATTTAGAGGATAGACATGTTGGAGGATTTGAGCGTCTCATGGTGAATAATAGCAATAATAATAAAAATAGTGAAGAATAATCACATAAAATCCTTGCAAATCTCTTATGCTGTTGCTTGGTTCATGTTCAATCCATTTTTTGGATCATCGCAAGTGGTGCTTCTAAGCTTGCCCGTCACCGCTTTTATAATTCGCTGAGCCTCGATCCTTGGAAGATCTTGCGGCAGCGACAGCGTCTTCGAATGTTGCAAGGAATGTTCCGCCAGCACTGTCTTGTGGGCTGAAACTATGCAGATCTTCCTCAGTGGCAGGTGCTGAAGGGCAGCAGAAAGCGGCTGGAAACTCTAGAAAAAAACTAGCCATTAGGTAGAGGAACCATAGCAGGTCCTTGTGGAGGAGAGTCAGTCAATACCCATCAAAATATATCGAACTTCAGAGAACACCCGCTTATCTTGCCGCTTCATAAATCACAACACTTGGGGTGCCTGGCAACACGCGTAAACTTCCATGCTCCTGGCAATATTATGTAGGATTTTTGTTTGGGGGTATCCCAAATATTGACCAGCTGGGATTTACCAAAAAAGACAAACGTATTCAAATCAGTTGGGTCTGAACCCCTAAAACCAACAACACTTGTGAAGAAATTGCTGAAACAAACTCATGAATCATTCATGATATATACATTTACATGATGACACTGACCGGATTTAAGACCCCAACGTTGGATGACCACTATTTGATGAGAAGAACCAACAGTGGAGTATCACAATAACTGCTATTTGATGATGGTCGGGATATGCCTGGAGGCGAAAATGCGGCCAGCAAACCAAAATGTGAGCCCTGACCATTGCTGTGAGGATACAAGTGGAAGTTAGTCATGTGTATATAATTCAGGTGAACTCCACTAGTGTAGTTATTCAAAAGTAACCATGATTTCCCGGATATCCCTCTGAATAATCCTTTTTCAATTCCTGCACCAAAACGGGTTTACTCAACAAAGGAAATCTTTGCCTATTGATGGCTACAAGTATGGTCGCTGTGGCGCGATTTGAATCGGGTACCCAAATTTTGCAAACAAAACACGGCAAACTTTCGTACAATGCCAAAAAACACAATACACCAGTCATATCTAGAGCTTTGCAAATGATATCCCATGCCATGGTTAACCTTAGATGCCCGGGAAAAAACTCAAAATACAACATATCATCTATTTATACACTATAAATATATATATTATATATATATATATTTGTATTTATATTTAGATTTAGATTTATCCATCTATCTATCCATCTATCCATCTATCGTTCACTCATTCCATATAGCTCCATCAACTGTGGCAAAGAATAGAACAAATGCATCAATTTCCAAGGTTTTCAATCCCATGTTCATTCGTGAACCGTCCATTTTTGCGGGTGTCAATGGTTAAACAAAACAAACGACAAATTGCAGCATCGTAAACCCCAAAGAGAAACATCACTATCATATATGGATAGTTATCCATAGTTCGTCATACTTCACCTCTATTTCTCTATTTTTTCTGTTGGTTTCTCGAGTATTCCATGGTTTTAGCCGTATCTTTTGGGGGCGCTCCCTGAGGTCCCCATGGCCAGTCTCCGAGGCGTTCCCTGAGCGGGTCCCTCCGGCTCCGGAGTTTCGGCGAGGGAGTTTCGGCGAGGCAAATACCTCGATGACCGAGAAAAAGGGAGATTGAACCAACACATATTGGGATTATGTCGTGACATTAACCTGGTTGGTGGTATACCTACCCCTCTGAAAAATGATGGAGTTCGTCAGTTGGGATGATGGCATTCCCAATATATGGAACAATAAAATTCATGTTCCAAACCACCAACCAGTTGCCAGCTCATGATTGTTAATTGTCTTTCAATGATGACCATATCGTGGCATTGATGATTGTCAATGGTGATGTTAATAATGATGGTTAATGATGGTTCTAATGGTGGATTTGGGATGGGGATCTTCAAGGTATAGATTCTATATGTGTTTGCCATAGACCCATTCATGAAAATAGTTACATACCAACTTAGTTAAGCATGGGGGACCACCTTGTGTGAACAGTTTTTTTGTATGTTATTTGTCATTCAGCTCTTTTAATTCTGGTATACATGACGTTGCCGTCGGTTGCATGCCTAGATCTATAGTACCAAGGATTCGGTCTGCTCCAAATGAACCCGGTACTTCTGGATAAACTTGGCAACAAAATTTCAGAGTACGTAACGTATTTAAAATTCCTGGATATGCATGTGTACCAGCATGTTCTGCTCTTGTTGGCTGGAAGACAAAACGCGATTCATTATATAGTCACAAGGACATGCCAAAAACAGAAGGAAAAAAAACGAGCAGTGTCTCCGAAAGTTTAGTAGCGTCAAGAACGCGTTGGAAATTCAGGAAAAAACGCCAAAAACGTGTTGGAAGTCCCAAGAGGAAACTAAGACCCGCCGTAAAGTCAAGAAAGTGTTGGAAGTTCTGAAAGAAGTTTAAGCGCGTGGCGTCCACAATGTGTTGGAAGTTCAAAGAACAAAACAAAAACGCGGCATCAAGAACGTGGTGATAAGTTCTGAGAGAAAGTTAAGAGGTCGTCTCATCAAGAAGAAGCTGGAAGTTCCAAGAAAAACATAGGATCGTAGCATCAAGAATTTGTTGGAAGTTCTAAAAGAAAATTCATTCAGCGCGTATAAACGTATAGCATCAAAACAGTGTTAGAAGTTCGATGAGCGCAGCATCAAGAACGTGTTAGAAGTTCTAAGAGAAAGTCAAGAGCGTAGCATCAAGACGCGCTTGGAAGTTCTAAGACAACCAAAGGAGCGTAGCATCAAAGCGGCCTTGGAAGTTCGAAGGGAAAGTTAAGAGCACAACATCAAGAACGAATTGGAAGCTGGTCAGGAGCATCGCATTATAAATATATTGTATCTGGTAAACTAACAGTTTGCTATTGAAAATGGCCATAGAAATAGTTGATTTACCCATTAAAAAAAATGGTGATGTTTGAAAGTTTTTTGTTGGTTTACGGGAAGGTAACCCACCCCCACCACCTAGCAAAATTGGAGGCCGCGGTGCATCGATCGAAATGCTTCAGGATGCAATCCTGGCCGGCTGCCAGTGGCACCCCGGAGTCTCCTGGCCGAGATGCCGTGTATAGAACCAGCAAAAATGGGGGGGGGTATGAAATCCATTGTTAAATTTACGTGCGTTATGTGTATATACATAAATATACAACATTATATATAAACCATTTTATATTGATGTATAATCTTAAAAACCACTATATGTAAAGTATTGGTTTGTAAAGCCCATTAAAGCACAATATAGCCTTTATTGCAATAATTCCTTAATTACCAACATTTACTCATCCCCCAGCGGGCATAGACCCAAGCATACGTTATGAATATGGTGTGTCTTAGTCATGAACACTCACAATGCAGTGAGCGGTCGCAACCCTCCCTCCAATGTTTTCAAAGATTGCTGGAATCAATGTCTTCTCACCCAACTGGTGTCAAGCCCTACCCAATTAGCTCGGGTAGCTATGCGCCCTTTCTCACCCATCCATTGTAAGATATGGATGGGTGTCATGACTCTCCAGCAGAAGATTGGCCTTTGGCCCATACTTCTGCTGAAGGTGTGGGCGGGTGGGTAAGTTTCAGCGGGTGCCCTCTCTCTCTTGAGCCAAAATGGCACGAGAGATGGTACCATTCCATACCCACCCTCCCAGCCAAACGCATCTCACGTGTTGCTGTTCACATTACATGTTCTCTCCAACACTCACGATGCAGTGGACGATCCCAACCCGCCCTCCAATGTTTTTAAACATTGCTGGAGTCAATGTCTTCTCACTTAACTGTTTCAGCTGGGTGTCGAACCCTACCTCGGGTAGCTATGCGCCCTTTCTCACCCATCCATTGTAAGATATGGGTGGGTGTCATGACACTCCAGCAGAAGATTGGCCTTTGGCCCATACTTCTGCAGTTAATCTTCCGATGTGGACGAGGAGTCTGACTACATGGCTGATTTTGCGTTTGGGTAGCATCTGGGGCATGATCGATGGCTCGACGGAACTTGTTGTTCCTCTGAATTGGTGCGAGCGTGTGATTTGCCCGCAAAGTACCACCCGCAGAGGGTCTTCCACTCAGAGGGCAAAGTGTCGGAGTTCACCAAGGGGGCATGGATGATGGACATCCGAGATGACATTGTGTACATCCCATATTTCAGTTCTGCTGGAAGCCAATCCCAGAGTGGCATCGATGCCTTCAAACTTGTGCTCGGTGTCTTCTATCTGCGTCTTGACCTTGCGCTTGCGCATGTCAGTCTTCATGCTAGCAAGATCTTTGACCAATCGTCCAAGTCAGCCCCAATCACACGATCCTGTAGTATGCGATCATGCCGCACCTGTTCCACTTCCGGTGCTGATCCCAGCCTGTGATGGAAGGATTCCAAGGTATGTGGGGACCGCAGCGCTTCCCCACCTGCCTTTCAGTTGTATTGTGATCGGATCGAGCCCCCACTTGCACAACGGTCGGGCACCAGTTATCCTGAATGTATGCCCAGAAACTCTCCAAGAGCCCGATGCATCCTTGGCTGACCCTCCAGACAGGTCGATGGCCGCAGGAATGGTGTCGACCACACTCTGTTTGGTGTACACCGTACCTGTATTTGTAGGAAACAGTGCCAACTCACGTCCATGGAATTTGTCCTGAATAAAATTCACATGTTCCATCAAAATGTGCATCACACATGGTAGGCCCCGATCACAGAAACAGTGCCAAGTCCGAGTCCTGGTGCAACCTTTCGCCTGCCAGTCAACTTTGGACACTGGCAGTCTCAGTGATACTGAGTCGCTTGTGAAGGTCAAGTCAGCCACTTCCAGTGATGACGCCTCCACTTCTCGAAGCATAAACAGAGTGGCCGTGACTATCAAGGCGCAAGGGTTAATCGGACCTTGCCCTGACAATGGTTCTCAGATTGTTGTGATCCACCAAGTCCGCGAAGTGTGGAACGTGCACATTTCCTTGAGATCAAGTCCAAGCGTGACATCATGTGACGTTCTTTTCACCAAACGTAATGTGCTACCTTGGTTCCCTGGGTCCTCTATAAGGTAGGTTTGGGTTATTGAAGACAGAAATAAAACAAAAATAGAGTTGATACTGCAACGCTGTTGCCTTTTGTTTTCCTGGGTTTTCCATGTGTTTCCTTTTTTTCCTTATTTTTCTTAAAGATTGCACGCCAAGTATCACGGTGGAACACAATGGAGTACCACAAACTTTGTCAGAAAAAAAACATGTTTTTTTCTCTCTTCACGTTTTGCATATCGCAAGGACAACGCATTCCAAACGATGGTTGACGTAAAACAAAACAGTAATATAAAAATAGTAATATATAAAATATAAAACAACGCATTAACTAATTTAAAAAAAATAGTAATATATATATATGTATATATATATATTGATTGATTGATTTTTTGAGATATTCTTATTAATACGTTCCTCCTGGCAAAGGCAAATGTCAGAATATGTGTCCAATTTCTGTGACAACTGCCAGAAATCAAAGATACCCACAAGTACATGTGTCAGAAATACACACAAGTACACAAGTACAACCCTGGTCCTTGCTTCAAACCATGCAACCTTTTCAGGATTTGTCTAGTCAGACCATGTTTATTTCAGTATTTGTTTTTTCAGATAGATCCTTTTCAGGATGTGTCTTTCCAGACTATTTCCTTTTCAGGAGGTGTCTTTTCAGACTATATCCTTTTCAAGCCTTGCCTTGTCATATTACATCCTTTTCAACATTTGTCTTTGCTTACTATATCCTCCTCAGAAACAAGTGAAAGTCGCACCTTTTTTTCAGTGCAAACCTGACATAAATTTATAAGACAACTGACATAAAAAGAAAAACATATGAGACATCCTGACATAAACATCTATGAGACACTTGTAGGAACTGTATTTCAACAAGTGTCCTAAACTGTTCTTTTTTGACACCTTTTCACACCATTTCAGGACACTTGATAGGACACCTCATTTTTCAACATAAAACCCAAAAACGAAATACCTACTTTATTAAATAAGATATAGCATTATGCCCTTTATGGTCATTGATGGACATAACATGAAGATTGATAACAACACGTTTGACGCAATGAACCAGTTTATACAAGATGACATCCAAACCTCATCGGAAGAAGAACCAAGGAGGCAATCAAGATCTAGAGATGATGGCACTTATGATATCACAACTTTAGACCCCGATTACTTCAAAAAGTATTATCTAAACAAACTCAAAGCGCCTTTCACCTGTCCAGACTGTGGGACAACCATATCAAACAATACAAATTTATCAAAACACAGGAACACCAAAAAGTGCAGAAACTCTAAAAGCTTTTGTTGAAGCGTTGACCTCAAACCTCACTCCAAGTCCCCCCATCACTTAACCAGTAAAAAAATACTTGAAGAACTATTACCTCATTATAGCAAGAAAGAAAAATGGAGAAGGAAAGACAAAGGACATTAGATCTTCTTTAAAAATAATCCATTTCCAGACCTAAATAATTTTGTACCTGCTGGCATCAGCGGTGGGCCTGCTGGCATCAGCCGTGGTGCTTGGGCTGCTGTGCATGGGGGCCTGCTGATGGCATCAGCGGTGGGCCTGCTGGCATCAGAGGTGGATCTTTTCACATCTTTTGTGCAAGCCATTACAAGCAGAATACTTTGTAGATAGCAATTATCAGCGCAAACCATTTGAATATATGGTTTTTACTTTTTACTGATGATTTGATTTTTTTCAGATTTTTGTTGAGCGATTTTTAGAGATTTTGAGAGATTTTGAAAGATTTTGAGAGATTTTGAGAAATTTTGAGAAATTTTCATTCCAGTCAGCAATACTACTTCTAAATTACAATGGTTCCCATGCCTGAGATTTTGGGAGATTTTGAGAGATTTTGAGAAATTTTGAGAAATTTTGAGTTTTTTTTTCCAGTGAAAAGCTCGTAAAGGAAAAGTAGTATTCGTAGAGGAAAAGTAGTACTCATAGAGGAAAAGTGTAATTATAGCAGGGTTGCGCTGATAATTGCTATCTACAAAGTATTCTGTTTGTAATGGTTTGCAAAGAAGATCATCATTTCACAGCGCGTCTGCAAAAACATCAGGTTGCAAACGCTTACACTGAAAATTCTATGAATCATGAAAATCACAAGTTTCTACATAGGTCATTTTTTCTTTTACAGTTACGTTGGGACTTGTTTCACATTGTCACTTTCAAGTCAACAGTGGTTTTGCTTAATGTACCACCTGTTCGAACAGGTGGCGCATGTCGAACAGGTGGTACATTAAGCAAAACCACTGTGGAATTTGAAAAACACAAAATGGAATATTTTTAAAGAAGATCTAATGTTGTTTGTCTTTCCTTCTCCGTTTTTCTTTCTTGCTATAATGAGGTAATAGTTCTTCAAGTTTTTTTTTACTGGTTAAGTGTTGGGGGGACTTGGAGTGAGGTTTGAGGTCAATGTTTCAACAAAAGTTTTGAGAGTTTCTGCACTTTTTGGTGTTCTTGTGTTTTGATAAATTTGTATTGTTTGATATGGTTGTCCCACAGTCTGGACAGGTGAAAGGCGTTTTGAATTTGTTTAGATAATACTTTTTGAAGTAATCGGGGTCTTGCCTCCTTGGTTCTTCTTCCGATGAGGTTTGGATGTCATCTTGTATAAACTGGTTCATTGCGTCAAACGTGTTGTTATCAATCTTCATGTTATGTCCATCAATGACCATAAAGGGCATAATGCTATATCTTATATAATATAGATCAATATAGTAGGTATTTCTTTAAATGTTTTTGGGTTTTATGTTGAAAAATGAGGTGTCCTATCAAGTGTCCTGAAATGGTGTGAAAAGGTGTCAAAAAAGAACAGTTTAGGACACTTGTTGAAATACAGTTCCTACAAGTGTCTCATAGATTTTTATGTCAGGATGTCTCATATGTTTTTTTTCTTTTAATGTCAGTTGTCTCATAAATTCATGTCAGGCTTGCACTGAAAAAAAAAGTGCGACTTTCAGTTTTTTTCTGAGGAGGATATAGTCAGCAAAGGCACATGTTGAAAAGGACATAGTATAACAAGACAAGGCTTGAAAAGGATATAGTCTGAAAGACACCTCCTGAAAAGGAAATAATCTGGAAAGACACATCCTGAAAAGGATCTATCTGAAAAAAACACATACGGAAATAAACATGTTTTTTTGATTTGAAAATGAAAACAAACTTGTGGGTGACGTGATCTTCTTTGGTTAGGTTTCCTTATAATTTTTTTTTTCCTCAAAATTCCTCAAAATTTCTCAAAATCTCACTTTTTCTCATTTTTTCTCATGTTTTCCCATGTTTTCCCACGTTTTCTCATTTTAAAACTCTTTATAACTCAAAATCTCTCAATATAACTCTTGAAAAAACCTAGCCTATCCAGAACCCACCTGGGTCAAGGTAGCACATTACAAATGGTGATCTTTGATGCGTGAGAGGTATAATTCTTTACAGATTTGTATCCCCCTCGTTTAAATAATGACGAAACCTTCACCAGCTTATCTTCCGTGATAGGCAACGCTCGAACTTCGTAACCGAACCACTTCTGGTGAAATTTTATCCAAGTCTTCAGGCGGACATCTCTAGGTGCTCTGCTTGAACTTGCATACATATCTGAGCACAAGTGATTCAGTGCACTACGCATCTGATCCGGGCAAAGGTCCACATCGGCATTGCTAGGTCTGGGATCCCTAGTTCTAACTAACGGGAAATCCTGTCTACGCCTCTTTGGGTTTGAGTCGGCCTGTGCAACTGGGTGACCAGGTGTCCTGTGAGGACCAGACTGGGAAGCAAAAGGCTCACCCGCAGGTACAGACGGTACGCGGGTTTCACGTAGCCTCACCCAACCAGCAATGTCATTCAAGGGTAACCTTGGAAGAAATTGTGCCCTCGGATTTCTTCTCTTGCCCGTCCACATTGAGCCAATCTTCGGATCAAACCGGTGATGTTGAAATGGAGCAAGATGTTTTGAAAGTACCCTCACAGATATCCCAGAGATATCAGGGTAGCTGTACCCTCTCCAAGAGAGAGGGTACCTGACATCCACTCTGAATTGCAACACGAGACTGCAAGGACATCAAAAGGAGACCTACCTGGTGTTACCTGCCTTACACAACACACGACCGACAGCATGCAGGCAATGCAAAAAAAAGGAGAGACACCTGGTGTTTCCTTGCCTAAATTAACCAAGACCGACGTGCAAGATGCAAGCATGTTTTGGACTCAGGAGGCATTATCAATGTTCATTGGCACAGTGTCTCTCTCTTCTGACTTGTCGGCCTTCTTCATTTTTTGCTCAGCTTTCTCCTTTTTGTACTTCCCATGGGTGTTGAGAGCTTTGTGTCACCCATCGGTGCTGCGCATGGCTGTGCCGGTGACGCTGCACCCCATGACAGTGTTTTCCACCTATTTGGGCCTGGATGGAGGGACAACTGCTTTGGCGCTTTTCAGCTGGATGGGAAGCTTGAATAGCACTCCAGGCTGATACCGACTCGAAAGCACGTTGCAGATGGCGTTTGCAACACCAGGCAGATGTTCCACCACTGTTGGACGGTGTTGGGCACGTCCAAGGTCCAGGGCAAATTCCCGGCAGCTGACTTGCCTTTGACCTGTGCATACAGTGTGCCCTGGATGACTGCCAATTTGCGCGCCAAGGCCTCAGGCAGACAAGCCCGCACAACGCTTCCCAGGTTTGTCGTCCCTCATGTGACTCCAGTTTTGCGCCCAAGTGGATCTCATCATCTTCGGTAATTCTGGCTGCGAAGAATTCCCTGGTCCACAAAGTTTAAAGGTGCCTTGTATTTGGAATGCACCTCCCATGCCAAATGGCGACGCATCCCATGTGATGAGGATTTCGGGGCCCTTGTTGCTGAAGGCCCCCAGAGTGTAGCATCTGATGATGCCAGCTTTCTCTCCAGCAAGGAAGGCTCGCAGCCATTGCACAGTGTGTGCAATTTGCTTCGTCCAAATTCACCCATTTGGCGCATGGGTTGCTCAGCTTGCAAAGCCACGTAGAGCTCGCTGATGAACGGCCTCCAGACGAAAAGCATTGAAGCAATGGCCATCGCTTTGCCAATCAGTGTGCGAAGCGACTTCTTGCTGACCACGTTTGACTGCGTGGTTTCTTCCAGACGCTTGTCAAGTTCTGCCACCTTTGAAGCTGGCACTTCCGCGACGACCTGGTGTTCTTATACTTTAAGTTTCACACCAATCCAGACCAATGCCTGCGAAAGCACTGCTTTGTATGTGGCAATGAGGAAGCCCATGATGCTCCACATTGTAACCACCACACGAGGTAGCAAAGCTTTGTGCGTGCGCCGTGCAATCCTGGATACCAGGCACTTCTTGCAATCCAAGATAATTCTTGTTTTGTAATGAGATTGTTTCCCCCGTGTCTAGGTTCAGCTTCGCCTTCTTTATGCAGCCCAACTTCGATAGGATCGGCTCCCCGTTGACCAGTTGTCTGCCTCATCCAATGTGTCAACCTTGGTGAGGAAGCCCTTGTGCTGATAGCCTTCCAGCGTTGCAAAGGCCTCTTCATCCTCCTCCACAACAGAGTAGTTATCATAGTCAGTGACCAAGCTCTGCCCTGGCTGAAGTCCAGCGTCATCTGGTTCAACCTGCTGGAACAGGCCATCGATGTCTGATGTATCCTTCTCGAGTCCTGCTGGCGATCCTTCGAAGGTCCACTTGGCACAACGCTCTCCTGGATCTTCAACTAAAAGCAGACCAGTACTGCTGCAGCCTTCCACGTATGCATGTTTGGTATTGTGCAACGTCAACAGGGCCCACTTCACAAGACTCTGGCATACCTTGGCGGCGATTCCTGATCAAGAGCTTTGCAATCTCTTCCCTGAGCTCGTTCATCCATGGCGAGTCCAGGATGTCACTGTTGGTGCTGTGCGCCAGTGACTTGAGCATCTTGCCTTCAATTATTTCTGGTTTCGCATCATCGGCTCTTGACCTGTACGCCTATGTACTTGGCCCTGTCTGTAACCCATCTGTGTATATCTCTAAGGGCGCTGCTTTCCCCAGGGTCCTCGACATTCGTCTCTGATCCCCTTAGTGGCGTCAACTTTCTGACCTTGTGGTGTGCTCAACTACGCTTTTGTCAGTGGTCATCGGCTCAGCAGATGCTCTCTTCTTTCCCCTCCTCCTGTAGAGGGCGTTCGCCAGTGCTTTGTTGAGGCCTGCAGGGTAGGCTGCACACGACCTTGTGATGTAGTCACCGTCAGGCTCCTGGTTTCGCAGCATGCTTGGGTCCCATTTCCGCTCCGGCATTGCCCATTTGCGTCCCCTCAACAGCGGGTGCGGTGCCCAAATTCGGTCCCGGCTCCATGGTATAACCCACAACTGGCATGGGTGATTGCACATATTGCACTTCACATTGAACTCTTCCAGTTCAGGAATGTTTGACATGATGTCAGTGAGTTTCTCAGCCCTGCAACCAAATCTGCACTGTGCAAGCGTGTAAGCTTCGAAGTTCATCCAACTTCCACATTGAGGTCTGTCCCTCACGCTCGTGAAGTTGCTCTAAGATCCACCATCCATCGTTGACGTGGAAATTCTCCGCAGCGTCGGCCGCTCTTGTCGCCAACAATGTGCCTTCCGTCACCTTCTTCTTGTCATCAGGTGAAAGACCTTTCAAGCCATACCTGTCACTCTATGCCTCTCAACGGCATTGGGCCTCCTTGCCCCCTCCTGGACGGTGTGAAGCTGCTGCAGGGCGGTGACAGCAAGACACCGTCGTAGCTCCCAAAGCTCCTCTTCACCTGCTCTCAGAAATCCTGACTGAGGAGGTCATGCTGTTCATCAAATTCTTTGTCCACGTAGGTACAATCAGCTCCTAGCTGTTGTGCAAACACTGCCAGGCCGTCACTTGGCCTACATGACACACTGTAGAGATACAAGAAGCGGATGGCCTTGCTGTCTGTAGCTGCAAGTCCCTCCACTGAATTCTCCGGCAGGTCGGGAAGCAGTAATTACTCCTTCTCCGCTTGCATGCACTCATCCGTCATCGTGGGTCAGTATGGTGGGCGTTTGCCCTTTCCACGACGTCCACGTCCTTTCGTGCCGCCTTTTGAATTCTTCACGACTCCTGGCGTCTGTAATTCGCATGTGGGCACCTGGAGCTCGGATGCGCCCGGAGACATCTGTCACACTGATGCGCTGTGTCCCACTGCTGTGTGTGCCAGATCCCTTGAGTGCTGTTGGGGCATTGACCACCATTGTATCCTGCGCAGATTGGGTACTCAGTTCTGTTGTGGATGTATTTTCCATCTTGTATGTTGTGCACCGCCGGTGCGGTTCGTGTTGCTGGGTCTGATCTGCTTCTCATTTGCCATCCTTGCTGGAGCCGGCGTGGTCTCTCTCTGCCCTGATGAGGCTGATGGGGCTCCACTCACCTTCGCATCGCCTTCAACAACTTCTCCAGGAGGGGTGGTCTTGGCTCATTCACCTCTTCTCTCCAAAAGGCTTCGTCTGACACAGCCTGCGCCCAGACTGAATTCCAAGGTCTGTTCTCGTCATAGTCAATGGTGCCGCCTGCTGCGTCTTGAGCTTTCCCTTCAATCTCTCCATGTGCTCCAGACGACACCTCACATCCGCCTGGTAAATCACTGACCAGACTTTGGGGCCGTAGTGCTCTACCATGCGTTCGATATGTGATCTTTATTTCTGTAAATGGCCCAGGTCCACTGCGTCGATCATGACGAGCACGGTGAGGAGCACGTTGTAGCTCCGCAGCCAGGTGCCAAGGTTGTTCGGAACATAGAGACATAGAGCTATACTGTCCTCAGGGTACCATCTCTCTTTCGATGTTGTACCCTGAGACCTTGATCCGCTTCATCAGGCCGACCCATAGAGGTGAGATGGATCAGCCCCCAGACAATTGTTCAGCTGTCGGCTCACAGTCCTTGGCCGGCCTCTCGCCTGCTCCGAAGACCGTCTCATAGCGACCATAGCATTTGACATAGTATTTGATGATCTCTCCGAGTTATCCACCTGGCTGATCACTGAGCAAAGCTTGATCCTTTGCCCTTGTGCAGAAGAGCTTTGCACCGTTGGTGGAGCTGCCACTGCGGGTGCAGCTTTTGCCACTGCCTTCAGTTCCTGCAACCTCAAGCCTGCCCCTGCCACAAGTTGACAGAGTCTAAAGAACAGCTTTGCCATCTCAGATTCTGCCATAGTTGGTGCTCTGGCTGGTCCACCTGCTACTGGCACAGTCCAAGTGGTCAACGTAGCTTCCAAGTCATCCTCTGAGAACATGCCTACAACCCTTGGCAGACTGGTCGGCTGCAGACCTAAATGTTTCAGAGATGAGCCAGGCACAGTTGTCTCTGCGAGATCATCGACTGCGTATCCTGCCCAATTCAGGACTGCCTTTGCATCTACCATCGCGGTCAGTTCATCTGCTGTCGGATTGCCGCCATAATCATAGGAACGACGCCGCTGCAGGCCACAGGCTGTCAACCCCACTACTAAGATGGCCAGGACGACACTGACCGCTGTACCCTCTGGCTTTTCCTCAAACAATTGGCCAGAGGGTATCACCAGGCTCATTCCCCACCCGCCGAGGATGACGGAGTCGCGTCAAGTTTCAGCAGGTGCCCTCTCTCTCTCTTGAGCCAAAATGGCACGAGAGAGGGTACCATTCCATGCCCACCCTGCCACCCAAACGCATCTCACGTGTTACTGTTCACATTACATGCTCTCTCCGCCAATAATGGCCAATACATGGTTCATAATTCCTGCATAATTAGAGGCTAATATATGAGAGAAAATACACGAAATTACTATGCCAGTGCCCAATTAGCCACAAGTATTTGCTATTAACCATCATCAGTTATTATACCACAATTATGGTCAAAGCGAGGTCATTATAATTCATCCGAATCCAAATATATGTTTAACGGTATATAATCTATCATATCTGATGGTTACACTCCCATGTTTCACATCATATGGTAGGATATTAACTATTATTTCGCTGTTTAGTGATTAAGTATTAACCGTCGTTACGGTGTCTAACCACTTAATCATCCATCATGTGCCATCATGAACATTGAACATCACGTTGTAATGAACAAATTCCTGTAACAATTCAACAATTATTAGATATGAAAATTCGAGTTGTCAATTGATTGGTTTTGTTGGGAAAATCTTCACCGGAAACCCTCCGATTTTCCCCCAAAAAATACGGATGGGCTTTCCTGTAAATGTTCCCTTCAACCAATCCCTAGTGCTCCAAGTACCCTCGGTGTTTAACCGCAAAAAGCAGCTCCAAATACAGTCGACTCAGAAGGTGTTTGGAGCCATAATCCATTGAAGTTAATCCATTGATATTATTAACCGTCACTCATTTCTAGTACTACTATTAACCATGTATTGAATCATTGGGAAAATGGAGGTACTGTAACTGTACCATATAAGGCCATATTTTGGGGGGATATTCCCTTACATAGGCCTACATGGGCCTTATATATGGTAGGTACCTCCAATTTGGGTTCCTGGAATGGCCATGTATTGAAGTTGGCATTTTCCAATTTTACGACCCCCCCGACCCCCCACGACTCGTAGCAATCGCGCCAAGTGTCGAGGCTGGTGTCGCAGGGGACCTGAAGCACAAAGGAATTGATAGGGTTGAATGGTAGCATTTATATTCGATTTATATATATATACATAGTTTTTGTTTATTGTACGTATGCATATACATATATATATAATATAAATATATAATTAGTGTGTGTGTGCTGGTGTTTATATGGTGATGATTATGATGTTTTGATGTATGATGGAGATATGATTTGGATTGATATATATATATAAAATGAATTGATATCATCCAAAAAAAATCTTGTGGGGGATTAATGTAGTAAACCCAATGCTATAAACCATGCCCAAGGTTACCACTTCTATTTTGGGTGCTAAAAACAGTCCTCAAATAATAGGTTTATTATTGGGATTCTCGCATTGATGGTGAATTTAAATGACTTATTAGGACATTTTTTTTATGGGGATATATGTTCGGGATATACAGTAATTGAAAAAATGAGACAACCGAAGAGTAGGCTCCATTCAAGCCGCAAGCACAAAGTATACATAATAGCTTTGTCCAAAATAACGATTCCAAAGCAACACCCAAGAATTGCCAAATATTGTTTGGTAAACCATCCAAGACCATGTAGAAAGCTATGACAACATGTATGGCTTTGAAAAAATGCTCCAAACCCCAGCGGCCTATGATTGTTGGAGAACAATGGGCTTCAATCGTGTCTCATTGGAGTGGCTGAGACGCTGGGCGTTTGCTTTGACTGCTTGGCTGCTTGGACCAAACCATTGAATTTTCGTTGTGGTTTCGTTTTTGTTTGGTGTGTGTGAGCAATCGATGCAATAGCCACACGGCGATCTTAAGAAAAAAAACATGTTGCCCGGAAGCTGTGATACCATCCAGCCGCTTTATGAATAATATTCATCCTGTCATGTCTTACATTCTGCGTGCATCCCCCCAAGGGAACGGCAACGACATCCAACATAATGTTTTACTGTCTATATATACCTCTTAGCCTTTCAGAGCAATAGACGTATATATGATACTGTGTGATTTTCATTGTCAGCTTAGGTCAGTGGCGAGGAGTCAACTTGAGTCAACCCACCCGCTTCAAGGTGTGTGCTATTGGGATTTTCTGTTGCTATTTTTGTTCTCCAGAGGCTCGCGCATGATCTGAATTCCTTCCAAAGCCGGAGGAGCTAAAAAACCTGTGTGCTTCAAGAAGGAGCACATCCTCCTCGGCCAGTTCTTTCAATGATTCCCCCAAAATCTAATCTTGCATTAGCAATCATGCCCTGTTCTTAGTCTTAGTTGTTAGAAAGTTAGTATAAACATGATCAATGGCAAACAACCAAGAGATTGAAATGCCCTTCACCATTCGCACCAATCGCTGTTTGCAGATGTGAGCTCGGCCAGTCTCTAGACATGGTCAACCTTAGATACCCAACATCTGCCTTTAGCTGGTTAGCAAACGTGTACGACGTATCTTTTTTTTTTAGATTTTGGTTTTTAAACAATTACCAGGGACTACACTACTCTTTACCAGTTGGCTTATATCCATTTTTGAAGTTAATTCACCACAGTTTTGTTGACTACCCTCAAATACTTTGTGCCATAGCCATCCATAGCCATGGAAACAGAGCATGTTTTATAGATACAATAAATCATCAAACTATTGCTGGGCCATGGCTTCCACATCCATTGCTATCTATCCATGTTTGTTTACCCTTGCCACATCTATCGCTTTGATGGCCCAGCTGCATCCGTTGGGAGCGTCGTGGAAATTTGGCCAATAGCTGGATCTTCTTGCTATCCTCGGTGCCAGCCCTTTGGGGCGCAAAGGGAAGGGGATATGGTACATGGCCATCACCACAAAACACATTGAATATGATCTATATGTGTGCATATATATATATTGATTGATTGTTTAGCCAATTTTAGCCAGCATGATTTATCATTGTTTTCATTGATGGTCAAATTCCTGAGTGAACAGCTACCTAGTTTTTTGTCCTTCATGAACAAACACTCAGCCCAGGCAGCTGTGACCGGGTCCTCTGGGGATCTAAGTTGGCCCGGTTTGATATGTTTGATATTGTAAGTTTGTATCAGTCACAATGATCCGAAATGATGAAAAATGCCGGCGCGGCCCTGTTTTTCCACGGCCACCTCTTCTTCCGCCGAGGTTCCTGCAGTAAGGCATCTAACTTCAGCTCGAGTTTCCGCATCGTCTCTTCCAAGAAGAACCTGCTGAAACAGGTATGGCAGGACGATTCCCAGGGCCCAGGGCGACCGTGAGAAACGTAACATATCACTCTAGGAGCATATATCCCTAGAAGAGTGGAATACATATTTGACCAACAACTCACGAACTCAAGACACATGGCAGCACACATGGCCAAAATCGTTAAAGACATATGACAGTACAAAGGCCAAACAAAGACATCAATATTGGGATCGAGCTGCAATCGAATTTGGACTCTCCAGAAAGAACAACCTGACGAAGAATTACCTCCTTTCATAAGAAACAATCATGGAGTTTACTATGAATTTCTAAACCCTTAAAATCTTCTGCAATGGCGTTTAGCATAGGCATAGAAGTCACTACTCTTTCAAATTGAATCTGGCTGTGGCAAATAAACGCACACGGATAGATATGGATAGGTCGGCTCTTTCATCAGTTGTTTTCCGGCCATCGTCGTGGCAAGAAACTCCAGGGTCGTCTGCTGCGTGCGGTTCATCGTGTTCGTCTCGTTCTTTGTGTTTGTCTCGGCACAGTCCTGGGGGATCTGGGACCATCTAGTGCTTATGTCATGCCTTATTTTGAAGCAAAGTGAGCCCCAAACGTATCTCAAATATGTGAAATATCAATGGAAGGATTAGTTGACACCCACACGTGTATGTCCTTCTATTATCAATCCCTGGTATATATAATTTTGTTGGTGGGCACTCCTGTTGCATCCTGTTTTTGATGAGTTGGGATTGGAATGGAATGTGAATGTTACCGCAGCATGTATGTTCATCATTTCCATCTCTAATAGGTACAAGTACGTATAATTTGGGACAAAGCCAAAATAGCACAACACGATGCATCACCAGGCTTCTTCCAACTTTGGAGCGAAGAAGATTGGCACCTAATCTAGGATGCCAGCAACAGGAGAATGCAAAGGTAAGGTGTGCAACATCTAAAGGCAATGCTGCTGTAGTAGGTGCAACAAATCTAGGTATATACAAGCGAGGTACCAGTGTTCAGCTTACAGAACAAACATATTGGACAAATGCATTTTGTGCAAGTCTTTGTGCACACCTATCCAGGAGGGAAAAGCAACAACAAACATCCAGCATCACTAACATGAATCTTGAGGGATCCAACTTGCTGAGTACACACTTTACCCCGAAATCATACTCCAAATGGGAATGGATCTATCTCACAAGGTGCTTGGAGGAATGGACATGGGGATCCCAGTGTGATGCTGCCGCCGCTTGGAAAAGAATTATGTTGCAACCAGTAGTGTAGGTTGGATACAGTTGGAAGTTCACTCCCAACAACTGCAATATAGCAATGAGGCGCACTGTTTTTACCAAGGGATCTACAGGCTACAGGGCATTAAACAAATCCTTCTGAGTTCGTTATCCCTGCTCTGTGTTGTGAAATCGTTCATTTGACTATATATACCGAGTCATGGCCAACCTTAAATATTGATTCCTCCATTGGGAACGCTACTAAACAAGGATCACTCTCCAGTAAACTAACAAAGCTTTGGAAATCAGGGCTTCCCAATTGGAAATCATCTGACAAACAGTGGATTTTCCCGGATTTTCCGCATCTATGTCTGTTTACTGGAGGATAATCCTTGACTTTAGTCCACATATTTTTCCTTGCTTCACACCCATGTTTGCTGCTTAGATTATATGCATCCTCCTGACGGCATGTGCTGACCTGTAACAGGTGTCCTGTAGGGCTTCACTGACAAGTCTTAGTTAGCGCTGGGGGATGTACAAGTTACATGGGTAAGGATCAAGAAGAGATAGTGACAGCTAGTGATCATATCATCAGTGATGCTCATCTTTTCAATCAAATGGTCCCACAAGTATTGGCCCATTAAACTATAACTATATGTGTATAGACGATATATAGATATATGTATATGTAGGGTGTTACGTTACATTTCATCACACTACACATTGCACATTAGTCACATTGTATATGGCATAGGTATATACTGTATATATACATATCTATATTATACATACATACTGTAGATATATGATAGGCACGTTATCATGTGCTTGGGAAATTCAATTCGTAGCTCCAACTAGGTATCCATGGCTTGGATATCCCTAGCGCCCCCGCTCCCTCCAAACCACTGGATGTTGAGAGCAGTCAAACGACGTACTGCTCCAAACCACTGGACAGCATAATTGGCACACACATACACATATATATATATACACACATACATATACATATACATATAGATGAATAATTACTAATCGAAGGAAGTTTAGAAGTCAAACTTCCGACAGTATGGGCAGATGAAAAGCAGAGCAGGGAAGAGGCAGAGAGAAGAGAAAGATTAGAAGAAAGAAGAATAAGAAGAAAGATGCAGATGCGTGAAAAGGTAGGAAAGTCGTGAAACACTGTGTTTTTCCAATGATTTGGGGCTCCGGAGGGTCGAAAAGTAGGCTCGCTAAAGCGGCGGGTGCGGAGCCAGCTGGCCAGATGAGAGATGAAGCATTGCACGCCGGCGCGAAGCACATTTGCAAGTCAAAATGTACAAAACACTTGGTGCTCGGAGCACTTTTGGAAGTTGAGATGTCGAAAAAGTGCATGCTGTTGTGGCGCGAAGCACATTTCCAAGTCAAAATGTACAAAGCACTTCAGCGTCGGACCTCTTTTGGAAGTTGAGATGTCGAAAACGTGCACGCCGTTGTGGCGCGAAGCACATTTCGAAGTCAAAATGTACAAAACACACCATTCTCGGACCACTTTTGGAAGTTCAGATGTCGAAAAAGTGCATGCCGTTGTGGCACGAAGCATATTTCCAAGTCAAAAGTGCAAAAAACTGACGGGTACGGAGCACTTTTGGACGTTCAGATGTGCTTTCGTGGCAGGCGCAAGGGATTGTGCACCTTGGCAAAAGTGAGCAAAACGTGAGGGTTTTGTGGCATTTCCAAAAACGCTGCGCTGATTTCCTGAGAGGGGTTGCATTTTGGAGCATCAGATCTTCAGGTTTGCTGAGATGATTTTGCGTGACAGGCGCGGCACGTCGTATGACCTGGCATCAATTTTTCGTGGCAGGCGCCGTACTTTACACAGGTGGAGTAAAAAAATCGCAAAACGCATTGGTACGAGTCTGTCAGCTCTGCACTCAACTTTCCATTTTTGAAGGACATCTCGCAGAATGCTTCGTTTTTGATGGCTTGCACTTCGGAAAATGAGAAAGTCTCGCAGAATTGCTTCGTTTCGGATGTTGTCAAGTTCAAAAAATGAAGACGTCTCGCAGAATTGTTCCGTTTTGGACGTTCTTATGTTCAAACATTACGGAAGTCTCGCAGAATTTCTTCGTTTTTGATCTTGCAGATAGATAGATAGATAGATGGATAGATGGATAGATGGATAGATGGATAGATGGATAGATGGATAGATGGATAGATGGATAGATAGATAGATAGATAGATAGATAGATAGAATTAGATAGATAGAATTAGATAGATAGAATTAGATAGATAGAATTAGATAGATAGAATTAGATAGATAGAATTAGATAGATAGAATTAGATAGATAGAATTAGATAGATAGAATTAGATAGATAGAATTAGATAGATAGAATTAGATAGATAGATAGATAGATAGATAGAGAGAAAGAAAGAAAGAAAGAAAGATAGATAGATAGATCGATAGATAGATAGATCGATAGATAGATCGATGGATAGATAGATCGATAGATAGATCGATAGATAGATCGATAGATAGATCGATAGATAGATCGATAGATCGATAGACGTACAGATAGATACATAGACACATAGACAGATAGTTAGATACCAAAGTAGAAAGATAAATAGGTAGATAGATACATAGACAAATAGACAGACAGATAAACGGATAGACAAATAGATAGAGAGACGGTTTTATCGATAGATAGACGGAGAGAGAGAGAGAGAGAGAGAGAGATAGAGATAGATAGATAGAAAGATAGAAAGATAGAAAGATTGATAGATAGATCGATGGATAGATAGATAGACAAAGAAATAAATAGATAGATAGACAGATAGACCACTAGGTAGGTAGGTAGATAATCAGAGAAAGATGGATAAACAGAAAGAAAAAGAGAGAAAGAGAAAAAAGAGAGAGAGAGAGAGGTCAAGCACCTTTCAGTCCATCAGTGGCTTCGCTCTGCCATCCCTGATTCACAACAACCAACCTCTCCTATAAGTTTCCTATTTTTGAAACTTCCGCCACCGCCTTGTGCGGTACTACTGGTACAGCATGTGATTAGTTTATTTATACATATTCCCTCCAGTAATCAAACGTGAAGAAAATCCATGAAAATCCAGCCTTGCCTGGACTGATCTGTTGGGCTGCTGCAGCTCCTCCTCGTCCTCCGGCTCGTCCTGAAACTCCGGAAATTAAGTCGTTCAATGGACACATATGGGAACTACAAGTGGGATCTTGCTAACCTCGAGATTTATGGATTCTGACTATTTTAGTCGTTATGCAATTATTATGCAATTTACATCAATTTACCATGAAACATGTGAGCTAGCTAGCACGGTCACGGTGCGCTTTCTATATCCGTTCAATCTACTGGATGGTATTTCGCCTACTGCTGCACATCCAAATTGGTTTGGCGGCTTGGGATTGTTGTTTTGAGCCATCGTTGGTTGTCAAATCGGATCATCATCGTTAAATGGAACATGTTGGAAAACGTTGAACAAAAAACCTAAGCAGCACATGCGATGTCTGCAAAAAACTACCCTCTGGTAAACTACTGTGACAGGTTGCTATGGAAAATCACCATCTGATTAGGCAAATCAACCATCTATAAATGTGCCATGGCTTCAATAGCTGTAAGAAATTGAACCGAGAGGGTAACCCATTTTCCACCCATTTTCCACCCATTTGAAGGTGATATTAATGGATGATTCATGGGATTTAAATGGATTGGATCGTCCTTCAGCGGCACAAGGTCCAGTGCGACTTCCTATCGCAGCGTTTCACCCGGCGAAACGCAGCGGAGCGTTTCACAAAAGGCGTCGAAAGGGGCCGGGGATCGGCCCTGGAACGCTACGTACAAAAAATAGCAAAAATGCATCGCAGAAAATACCGGAAGATCATGAAGATCAATTTGTTTGAGTTGTTTTTTGATATTGCGGGACGCAATCGCGCAAAGAACACATTGCTTATTTCTCAGTGGGTGCAGCATCCTTTTTTTCCATAGCCTCCAGTGATTTGACCTGGCTTGCAGTATCTCAATCCCGTTGAAAGTGTGGATTTGCCCATGATAAAAAAAATGACCAGAGGGTACGTACTCGTAAGGTCGAACTTTGCACCCATCCAAACCCATCGAAACCCATCCTATTGCGCCTGCATGAGTTCAGACCCTGTCTCGGAATTGAAATCACTGCGGGAATCCGTTGATTCTGCAACGCGCCGCCTTGCACATGATGACTGAAGTAAAGAACACAGTTTTCAGGCAGCCTATGTAGGAGTTTCAACAAACATTGGACGTGCAGCAAAACCATGTGTAAAACAAACAGATTAAAGATTCGCACAGAATATCAACAGAAATTGCAACCTTCAGCAAATAACCGACTTTTTCCACATTCCAAGGCGCTCAGCCATAGCATGTCATAGTTTATCATCGAAATATCACGTACAAAAACCCCCAAAAAAATAAACAGCTGTCTTTCTTCAAGTCCATGGCCCAAAATAACATAATCCCCATATATGGTACCAACATGTTTCAATTTTTTTCCTGATTGACGTTTAAAGAAACACGCTTGTTGGTTAAATCACCATTACCTTTAACTATCATTGTGAGTCAAAAGCGCTATAATTCACCATCATTAATGGTACATAATCCCAAAGTCTTTTCGTAAAATCATGGTGATCATGGTGAACTCACCAATAAATCCTCATGTTCCATCATTTCTTCCCGGTTGAATCATCATTTTTGCATCCTTTAGCTGGTGAAATTCCCAGCCTGGCCCACGATCCCTCGCCTGATGGCCCCCAGCTTCTCCCGTGGCACTATTGGAGTAGTCGGAGCCGCTGGAACCGCCATGGAGGTCCTGGCCGGCTCCCGCTGCAGCTGGCGACTGAGGTCGTCAAGGCGTGCGGATAACTCGTTGAAGCACTCCTGAGCTGGGATGAATTGAGGTTTTCTCGAGGCTTTGATGGCGATATTTTATGGCGGTGCCGGCAACAATTAGGGTGTTCTTAGGGTTTTATGGTGGTATAATCAACAAATATCAACAAACATATCATTTTATGTGGGATTATGTGGGTACAACCAGCAAAAATGGAAATTTATCCAATGAAGAATGGATAACTTATTATGCAGGTGGGATTTATGAGGCACACCAGGCCGCTAGGATCCAGTGAATACCCTCCGCGAGTAGCTATACATCGACAATTTTGCGCCGCTCAGCAATAGTTCGATGATTTAGAGGGTTTTTTACGGGGGAAATAACAAAAATGGAGATTTACCCACTGAAAAATTGATAATTTATGGGGATATAAATAACCAATAGTTCAATGATTTACTCTTGAAACATGTTTCTAGCAATTTCTTGCCCATATTCCAGGGCCGAACATATTCCATGCCAAAATAGCTGGGAAATTTCAGGGAATTGCGAAGACCCCTTTCAGGTGAAATTTGTATTTCATACAGTTTGCCAAGTACTCCTTTTCTTCTGGCACGTACGTTGTCGACTACACATGTTCTTCCGCAAAGAAGATCCTTACTTTCAACAATTTCTGGAAATGTCATAATTAATAATGTTGAGCTTTCCAAAAATGGATGAATAATGTTCTTATGGGAATTTGTCATCTACACTTTTCAGGATCTCAAAACCCAATTCATAAGCTTTAAGCTTATGTTCTGGCACGCTTGGCTGGCCTTTCACCAGCAGCGCCATCCCCATCTTTCTTGACATCTTTGTGGCCCCGCAAAGAGCCCTGCACAACAGGATCTCGGAACACAAATCATCGACGATCCTGTTTTCTTCCGTGCAAACTAATTCCACCGATAGAGTACGATGCCACCCCTGGAGTGCGCTAATTTTCTGGAATGCGAAAATAAAACAGTATGCATGGCCCCCTTCGACCTTCCCCAGGATCCAACACCAGTTTTTTCCATCATATACCAGAAAATTATCACATTTCACCCTGCTGAGCTTTGTTTTTCTTTTTTTTTGTCATTTTTGGCCAAAATGGCCAGGAATGCGATAGTATGTGAAAATACAGACGTCTCACGCGAAACCGCTACCTTGCCCATATTCCAGAAAACGTGATTCCAGGCGATTTTAGCCAAAAAAAAAACGAAAAAAAAAAAACAGAAAAAAAAACGCAAAAAACGAAAAATCACCGAGTACGAAGATTTTATGGAGCGCGAAGATCTTGCAGAGTGCGTGGATTTTATAGTATGTGCACGTCCCTAGCTGTGGAGTGCGATGCCCTCGCTGGAGTGCGAAGGCTTTGTGGAATGCGAAGACTTCCGAGTATGCGTGGCTGGTATATAGAGACCACATAGGGAAATTTCGGGGCCAGAACCAAAATTCCAATCCCAAAGCCAGCCCAAACTTCCAGGGACACACCAGTGGGTTCTATTTTTCCGAGTTCACCTTGGGTGAGGCCCCGGGGAAGAAACTTTCTAATTTTTACTCAGCCAACCTTTAAAAACGTTACCCTTGACAACCCTGTCCTTCTTCGGTAGACAAATGAAGAAACTTCCTTATCAAAGCAGCCTTCAATTCATTCAACGTCCACAGCTGCTTTGGAACGACATAGGGGATAGAAAGCTGTGGAGGGGCATTCAGTGATTCGCCGTGGCCCAACTGTTCCCTCCAGATTGAGCTGAAATGCCTATCAAAGTAACATACCAAAACCCAGGTCTGGAGTACGATGAAAACATGGTATGCGAAGATTTTCTGAATATGGGAATGTTGCCTCTAGAATGTTGATTTCCAAGGCAAACTCGTAAAATTATTACAAGAAGAGAAATTGAGATCCACTATTGGACGTTTCTGTGTGATGTTAGGCCTATCAGTAGAACCACTTTTGGATAATCTTGGATGCCAATGCCGGCGAAATGGTTTGTAAGCAATTACTAGTATGTACTTGGAAGTGCTAGTTAACCAGGATCTATCAGGAATCATGTTTGACCTTCATGGGCCCAGCCACAAACAAATTGATCCAGCCACTATATATGTATATTATATAGCTCGAAAAACCGGCCACTCCTTCGTTATGGCCACAAATACTCTTTGAACACCTTTGCTACGAAGTTCCTGAGTTTGAGATGTTTAACAAATGCCAAACACCTGAACCCCACTGATGTGACTGGAAACGCCGGATGCGGAGAAAAGCTTCAGATTGGGTGTAGAGTTCATCTTTCCTCTCATCTTCCTTCCAACCCCCAATGATGATGACATACGATGGTGGTCGGGCAAGTTGTTCTATCTTCTCATTTATCACCCCCCAAAACAATATCGCAACCCCAAAATAGATGCAAGCTGGAAACCTTAAATTCTGGGCTAACTGTTTGATAATATAGTATAATTTATGTTTCTATCTTGTCAGTTAATCTCATCAGTAGAAATTTACGTTTCTATCTTGTTGGGCCCTCGCCCAGTGTCAGCGGAGAGCTCAATCATATCTTCCTGAAGGTGCATGGTGTGCCTTGGCACCGCCATCTGGGGGATTCAAGCCAAACCAGTGAGAATAAGTCGGGGATATTTCATCACTCAGGTACCTATTATTAAACCATTATCATCATTATATAATTATATAAAAATGTAACTATGACTGAACATCATGGTGATGACTGTTGACTATTCATCTTTTTACTCGAACCTCCGTAAAAGTGGTGATCTAATCACTTCTTTTGGGGGGATCAATCTGCTGGTTTCATGGGATAATTTCTCCAAAGGTTCCGCAGGTGAAGCCCCAAAACGGTAAAGCCAGGTTGATGTCTTGGGCAAACACCATCGACCGCTTGGGGGATCCTGTCGCAATGATGCCAAGTTTTGTTGCTCCACATATCTTTGATTCAATGCCTGGTTCTAAAAAAAATGTCCCATCATTTCCCAAGGTAGTATACCAAAACAAGCACGAATGATCCTTGTAGTCCTTGTGTAATTGCGAAAAAATGGAAATCATCCCTGAAACGTCTCCAAGTGATCTACCAAAGGCTGACTTTCCATAGCCTTCTCCTGGATTTGTGGGCTTCTCAGCTGGCACCATCAACAGGTCTTCAGGATTGCGACCAAGACTCAACATATTGTACTTGATGAAACCTTGGTTTTTTGCTGCAACCATCTGCTGGTTGCACCTCTCCCCCACCTACGCGCTAGAAAGTCATGCTTGGGGGTTGAATTCAACATGGAACTAAATGCACCATGTTCCCCAGTTATGTTTTCCCTTACCAGCCTGGGCATCCCAATCATTTCGCGTGTTGGATTGTGAGGCTGTTTTATACCCCATGTCTTCTAGGCACCTCTCCCCATGGTTGCCAGAAAAAATCCCCTGAGTCCTTCTGAAATTCCATGATGTGTTAGCCAATATACTTCCCCAAAAAGATTGGGAACAAACACAAACACCAACACCAACACATCGTGGAGATTCACTTTAAGATTTCTTGGGACATCCATAAATCCATGGCTAAACTAGGAAAACAAATAAGCAAAGTCGTTGTGTTTCGATGGAGGTGTTCCTCCATTGTTAAATGGTGGACAATTGACCCACTCAAATCCCGTGTTCCTGGGTTTATGATGATTTAATCAAACTCCAGATTGCTGGTCAAAATTAAAAGAAACCATAAGACACCCAAGATTTACGCCCGGAAGATCCCAAATGATTCGCCGCAAGCCTCTCATCGGCCCTGGAAAGGCGAGCTGCGGGGTGCTGTCTTGGAATCATGCGCCCAACGACTCAAAGGACCGATGAACCTTGTCAGCGGTCACGATCATCTAATCTTATGGGGAGGAGGTTTATATATAGGTAACCTATAGGTATACATAGGTATAGTAACAAACAGGAACACATTATCCACAGGTTCATTAGCGTTAGCTGTTGCATACATCAGATAGCCACTGAGGGTTGTAGTAGTAAGGTATGCCAAAGAAGACTGCTGCCCTCCCGGCTCAAACTACACCAGCTATAAGAGTCGCTAGAGTTGTGGTTCAGTGGCCATTCTCACACCAGCAAGAACTACAGGAAAGCGGGGTAATAGCTTCAATAGATGATCATGACATACCATGTCCAAAGAAAACCGTGCCAAAACAAACCAAAAATAGCCACATTTGAAACATCAACGGCGCCGCTTGGGTACTTCAACATCTCCATACGATGGCTGCCAAATCTCCGAAGTTTGATGCGGCCGAAGGACTCTGCGGCTTCGATGGTCCCAGATCCGTCGCTGTCGATCATTTGGAACAACTGTTGCAAATCGTTCCTCAGTCATGAGTCATTGTGGTTTAACCAGCAAAAAAATGATTTTGTAATCAACAAAATGTTACTTAAGGCAATTTATTCAGCTAAATTGGATGATTATCCTGCTCAGCCAGCAGAGCAATTGCAGAAATTGCATCTCATATCTGAACTGATGCTATTTCATTTTTGCTAAAACAAAGTTATGTACCCTCCCGTAATCACACACGGCAATGAAACGTTTTACTTCGATTATTTTCCTCTTCAAACCTCTATTTACATAGGATTTCCCAGCCAGCCATGTTTGATTCACAAAGGATAGATAAACTCACCGGTCCTCCTCGGTTGAAACCTATACGATCTGGGAGGAGCTGCACTATAGTTGAATAGCTGCATCCCATTGCAAGAACAAGTGCATCCGATGGGATTTCAAAGGGATTTTAATGGGATTTCTGATGGGACTCAATGGGATTTCGTTTGCAAAGTTCGTTTAGCTCAATAGGTGAATTATATGTCTTATGGTGATGATACTGGGTGTATTTTGGGCCAACAGAAAAAATAATACTAAACGTATGTTATACTATGGAGAGGGATTAGAGCAGCTCAAAAACACCCAAAAAACAAAAAGACTACCGCACAATTCAAATCAACAATGAGGAATTGCAAACAGCCGAATATTAAAACAATTACTTTACTTTGAGTGATCCCCACTGTGAAAAAACATTGTCAGAGTTTCTGACATCTCATCTGGAAGTCTATATAATACACTACCTTAAATAAACTTAGACCTAGAAAAGCAATACCACTAAACAAACATAGACCTAAGGGGGTAGCCTTACCATACACGTGAGCAACGAAAAAAACAGGCTGCAACTCAGATTTCAGCTAACATAGACCTACAAAATCCAGCCATGTTGGCTATCATGATACAAAACATGGAAAAATGGAGGCATGACAGCTTGATTGAAATGCATTTACATACCTGCACTTTGCAACGCAACAGCTGTGAAGACCACAAACGTAGACCTGATCACCTGATTCATACCTGATGTTTGGGAGCATTTGGCATTGTGCAAGGTTTCACAGCAAATTTCAATTAAATCTATGTTAGTATACTTCCATCACCAGTGACGTCTTAGCTTCTAACAATTCTTGTGCTTCACATGCTTCTACACACTTAACCATGGTCAAAGCAATTTGGAGTTGCAAACAAAGATCTAGTACGGTAAATCCATGGACTTGTGGAAAATTGCCCTTTTATAGATGATTTTCCCATAAAACCTCCATTTATAAGGGATTTTCCATGGCTATGTTAGTCATAACCAGATGGTACCCCCTAGTAAACTAACATAGACCCTGAAAATCACTATTTTTTAATGGAAATGAATCTTCCAGCCCCTGTCTGCCAGGGTCTATGTTAATATACCAGAGGGTAAATCCATGGATTTGCGGAAAATGGCACATTTATAGATGATTTTCCCATTAAAACCTCCATTTATAAGGGATTTTCCATGGCTATGTTAGTCATAACCAGATGGTACCCCCTAGTAAACTAACATAGACCCTGAAAATGACTATTTTTTAATGGAAATGAATCTTCCAGCCCCTGTCTGCCATGGTCTATGTTAATATACCAGAGGGTATATGGCATCTGCAGAACCTAGGGATCCTCACCTGGCAGGTGGGGAAGAACTCCAAACATGTCCACCGTTGTTTCACCTTGTAGGTTCAACATGGACATTCAGAAGAGGCCGTCGTCACTTGTATTTTTTCGCATGGTGAGAATCTCAACAAATGGGGGGTCAAAGCCCGGTCAGACCTCTTCTGTTCAGGATTACTCGCTGGTGTCCACAAACGCAGCAAGCTGGGAAATCCCGAACTAAATGAAGGTTTGAAAGGGAAAATCATCGAATGCAACGGAGTGGTTTTCCATTGCCATCCCCAGAGAGTTGGTGTAATGTAGTAAAACCCAATGAGCACCTACAATTTGAGAAGGTTTATATCATGTTAATTCATTTCATGATAATGGGGTCATAAGTATATTAATTATAAATGGTCATATTGGTGATGGTGTATAATTTTTGTCTTCGCCCACCAGTCATTTTTTAGGTATCGAATGGATTGACCCATCCCCATATTGCGGGATGATGTTGGGGTCACCAAGGATGTTCCAACAGATAGATCCACCGCTGACAGATCCACCACTGCTGACGTCCGCCAAAGGGTCTCATCTATATCCATCACACGCAAACGGCTCTGAAAGGCTGCATCGGTACGTGCGCCTGAGGGGTGGAAACAAAAACATCTGCGCTTGGAATTCCAAACATGGCAGGGTGCAAAGAAGAGCACAACGGATGCGTTTCACTTATTTACCAAACCTAATATTCTGGGATAGTTGCCCCAAGCCTTGGCAGTGAGGTCGCTGTAATTTACAGAAATGTGTTGGATGCTTGCAATTACCGAGTAGTTTGAACGGAACGGCCACTACCCTCAGGGAGGTCAGCAATTTCATGGTCATTGTCCCAGATGTCACTGAATCACATGTGTTACAGGTAGGATCATTTAAACAAAAACAGGAAAACCTTCTTGAGGGGTGCTTCAGAAATGACAGTCTAAAACAGAAAGGCACTGAAACATACTGAAACCACAATAATATCAACACATCACTTCCCCCCGCAGAATGCTCAACTACATCGACCCCATGATGTGATAAATTTGCTTCGGGCCACTTGCTGGCTGGGTATTCTATATGCCTGCCGAGTTGGTTGTTGTTTTGTTTTCATGTTTGCTTGTTTACATTCCCATTTTTTCCGGTCAAATCCCATTGTTTTTGTTGATAACATGCTGCAATAATGTGGCCACCTTCACACTAGGTCTTGTTCTTCTCGTTAATCTTTCCCTCGCCTATTGGAGCCATGCAAAACACCCCTATCCCATCCCGTACTGGTTTGTGAATCCCTATTGTGGCTTGGCACAGGGGTTGGAGATGCCCTGCTGTTAGGATTGTGAACATCACTCTCAAATAGTGAAGTTATGATATCATCCCGAATCATTAGTTGGGGGATGTGGAAAATGAGAACATTTAATTTAGATAACATACATGTACCAACTCCTGTAGTTTAAATCCCCATCATATCCCAATTACATTCCCACAAAGCCTATGATATTCCGACCATATATATATATATTAATATTATATTATATTAAATAATATTTAAATATTATGCCGATTATATCACTTTTCCCATTGATATCCCATTATCCCGTGTGTTTCCATTTTTTCTGACTCAGTTGCCCATCGTCTCCCAGCCTGCGACCAAATCTTCTAAGGTGAGTTGTCCGGTGCCGTCCTTGTCGATGCGCTCAAAAATCTGACGCCGGACGCGGGCCATGGGCGACACAACTCGTAGCAGAAAAGATGGAGCTTTCCGAGGAAAACATGGGAAACCAGGGGAACATTCAGAAATACGATGATATATATATATATATATTATAAATATTTAATAGATTAATTAAAATAGTAACCCCAGAAAAATAAGCAAAACACCAATTTACCACGGTTTTCTATAGAATCCTACTTTTCTAGCTCATATCGATATGGTATCAAAGTCAAATTTCCTTCAGTCAAATCATCTTCAGTAGAGTCAGGTTGCTCTCATCATGCCGGCACTATTAGCATTTGTTTTTCCATTAAACATCCAATTCAAATGCAAATGAAAATGAAACACAATGACATTTTTTATTGACACCTTCTTTGTGGGAATGTGTGCCGAGTATTGATCAGTTATATAATAATTGTACATATTCTTCAATGAAAACGTTGTGCGTGAGTGTATTTGGTTATAAAATATAGCTACGTAAACATACATTTACATATGTATCTGTGAATGTATACATATGTATTGTATATGTTTAAAAAAAAACTATAATTAAATATAATATAAAATAATACAATATGATATAATATAATATTATTATATAATATAATATGATATAATGTATTATAAAAAACAAATAATATAATATAGTAAAATATAGTATAGTATAGTGTTTGTACCGGCAGGTTTGTCATTGGCGGGGCACACGGCGTTTCAAGCGCATTGGCAGGTGGCAGGCTACGCGTGCAGGTCAAAAAAAAACAGTTCGAACTTGTCAAAAACATCCCGGCGGACCTGGCACCGGCCCATGATTGCTTAAAAATTCTTGTTTCGCTGTGGCGCCAGCTCGATTTCATGTGGGAAACAACCATGAAAAAAAACATCCGTTTTAGTGTGGTTTGCAACCCTTACAGGGCTTTGTGCTTCAAAACCCGGCGAACGATCAAAGTGGCCTTTTCTCTTCACCGCATGAGAGATCTTACAGCTTCGCCAGTGGCGGTCAGCAAGTCGAAGCCAGTGTGTTCCCATCTCCATTGGTGACTTCGAATGTATTTGAACAACAAACCATTGCGTTTGCCTTGGACTTGGGAACGAATGCTGTCTGGAATTGACTTTTTCATCAATTTCCAGTAGCGTAGCGTAGCCTCCCATCATGTCTTGCAGTAGAGACGAATGCGTAGCGTAGCATCACATCATGTCTTGCAGTAGTGACGAATGCTATCACCCCCACCCACGACCCCATGCGTAGCGTAGCCTCCCATCATGTCTTGCAGTAGTGACGAATGCGTAGCGTAGCATCACATCATGTCTTGCAGTAGTGACGAATGCGTACCGTAGCCTCCCATCATGTCTTGCAGTAGTGACGAATGCGTAGCGTAGCCTCCCATCATGTCTTGCAGTAGTGACGAATGCGTAGCGTAGCATCACATCATGTCTTGCAGTAGTGACGAATGCGTAGCGTAGCATCACATCATGTCTTGCAGTAGAGACGAATGCGTAGCGTAGCATCACATCATGTCTTGCAGTAGTGACGAATGCGTAGCGTAGCATCACATCATGTCTTGCAGCAGTAGTGATGAATGCGTAGCATAGCATCACATCATGTCTTGCAGTAGAGTCAGTAGAGACGAATGCGTAGCGTAGCATCACATCATGTCTTGCAGTAGTGACGAATGCTATCACACCCCACCCCACCCCACCACACCCCAATTTGTGGGCCGGTAAAAGGTCCGTCTGCAAAAACATCATGTCTAGGTATGTCTAAGTATGTCTTACAGCAAACTGTTTAGGAACAACTCTGTTTGAACTCATATCCCCTTGTTCTTGTGTAATCTCACTGTCAGTTCATCTATATCTGGGTAAATTATATTAATTCACTAACCTGAATTATGGGATGATTCCCCTTACTAACCATGATTTCCAGTGAGGTCGCAGTGAGGTCGTTATAATTTACCCATATATATATATACACTATATTCTATTATATTATATTCGCCCTGCTGGGATGCAGGTGGCAGGTGCCAGGACTTCAACAATCATTGGTGGCGGGAACCAGCTGGAAACGTACCAAAATAACATAGCCATGGAACATCACCATTTTAAATAGGTAAATCCAGGTAAACTATCTATAAATGGGTCATATTTCATGGCTATCTTAAATAACCAGAGGGTAAATCTATCAGCATCATAGATTGGGAATCAAGGCTACTCCCTCGGACAATGTTTGTCGCAGGGACGGAAGGGGAACATACAGCCCACGGGCCCGCTTCCAGACATGAATCATATTGTAGAGCGTCACTAGGTGAACCATGGTTTACAGGGGAAAAGCATATGTTTAGATAAAATGGCGAATCAAAAACAACAAATATAACTAGGCAGGGTCTGTTGCCCACTTCTTTCTGCTTTTCTTCTAATCAATCTACGCTACTGGCAATTTTTGGTTTCACACATCTTCCCACATCACACACACATATCACATCACATCACATCACATCACATCACATCACACATCACGCATCACACATCACACATCACACATCACACATCACACATCACAATCACCTGCCTCCCTGACACATATCCTTCGATAGTTAAGTCACGCGGCTAAAGCTTCCTACAACTTTGACAGGTCGGCTTCCGTTTTGCTGAAAAGATCGACTTCTTTGGGCTTGGGGGCCTTGCATGCCTGAGTTACCAGTTACCCGTAAAGATATACCATGTTTTCTGGTTAGAACCGGGTGCCATCTTGTACACATATATATGTATATGTATATGTAAATCATTATTGCAGTTTGTATCTGCATTAAAAAACTATTCATGCTTATACCTACCTACATACATACATACATACATACATACATACATACATACATTACTTACTTACTTACTTACTTACTTACTTACTTACTTACTTACTTACATTACTTACATACATACATACATACATACAAACATACATACATACATACATACATTACTTACATACATACATACATACATACATACATTACTTACTTACTTACTTACTTACTTCCTTACTTCCTTACTTACATACATACATACATACATACATTACTTACATACATACATACATACATTACTTACTTACTTACTTACTTACTTACTTACATACATACATACATACATACATTACTTACTTACTTACTTACATACATACATACAAACATTCATACATTACATACATACATACATACATACATACATGCATGCATACATACATACATACATACATACATACATACATTTCATTGATTCATACATACATACACACAGACATACACTCATACATACATACATACAAACATACATACATGCATACGTACATACATGTATACATGTATACATGTATCTATCTAAGTCACCACCTTGTCTAGTCATATTATATCATATTATGTTATATCCACTTGCATTCCAGTGAACCATAAGATATCTCTTGTTGAAGGGGCAGTTCAACTTGTTTGCCTCATCTCAAACAGCACACGACTAATTATAGAGAAACAACCCATTCGTGCAGAAACGAGTTTGCGCACATTTTTTTTTTAATATCTGGCATCGATCTGGATCAACCAAGAAAACCAAGTAATCACCCGCCCGAAGCCAAGATGCCTTAGCCAACATCTTACCTTTGCGGTTCGTGTCGATGTGATGAGCGCACAAGGTTCAACATTTTGTTTGGCCAAGCAAAAACTACCAAAAACTGCAGGGATGTGAACGTGGATGTGAACTGCCCTGTCCAAAAAAACATGATAAATATATAAATAATGTTCACAATGACTAGTGAAACCAGTAGGGAAGCACTTGGGATCCCCATACCATCGTAGATTAGTGAAATACATGCTCCAGAATCAAAGGGGTTTGATTGAGACAGCAAAACAAGTTGGTGTCTGTTTCATGCAGATGCGTGGAATAATCCCAAAGGGAAAGCGCAGGTGGCTCCTCAGCATCCAAGCCGCTATCTTGTTGAATCTCCGCTTCCATCTCTTCGGCTAAGTTCTGCACATCATTGTCCCTCGCTTCTGCAAACGTATCCTTTGGATTTTATGTTCGCACAATATTTTTGTTTATGCATTTGTTGCTGCATATGTGTGCATTTATTTTTGTATTTCTGAACGTATATATGTGCATGCGTCGTGGCATATGTGTTACGAAAAAATATGGTCCGATAAAAACACATCTGTCGAGCCTGCACCATTTATTATATGTAACGACAAATGTCGAGCGAGTAAGGGTAAATGTAAGACATATGATGTGACATACGTTAAGAAATGCAAGCACACATGTCGAGAAATGCAAGAACAAATGTTGAGAAATGCAAACACAAACATTTGTATAAGTAAGGTGAAATGTTGAACACCTAAAAAGACATTGTTAGCGCCGGTATACATGTAAAATAAACGCAAAAAGAAATGCAGTACATGCACGTATGCCTCCATATGGGGCCTATAGAGAAAGCCTTCGCAGAGTTTTAGGATTAAGCTAAATTATAAATATATATATATATAAAACCGAAGGAAATTTAGAAGTCAAACTTCCGACAATATGGATAGATGCAGAGGTGGGAAGAATCAGAGAAGAGAGGAGAAGAGAAGAGAAGAGACGAGAAAGAAGATCAGAGAAAAGAAAGAGGCAGAAGAAAGAAGATGCAGGCGCGCGAAAAGGTAGAACAGTCGCAAAACGCTGTGTTTTTACAGTGTTTTGTGGCTCCGAAAGGGGTTTGCGTGGTAAGCGCAAAGATTCGGCACATTGCCACAAGTGAGCAAAAACATGCGGGTTTTGTAGCAGTCTGAAAAACATTGAAAAATGTCGGCAGGCGTGGTACATTTGAAGACGATCTGCAAAGATGATCAAAGATGCAGATCGCATGGCAGCGCAGTACGAGAGACATGTTCATCAGAGATGTTAGGAGGTCAGGGCGCTGGTTTCCTGAGACGGGTTGCATTTTGGAGCATCAGATCTTCGAGTTTGCTAAGATGATTTTAAGTGACATGTGCAGCACTTCGTATGACCTGGTCTCACTTCGTATGACCTGGTCTTACTTTAGACACATGGACTGGAAAAATCGCAAAACGCAAAGGTACGAGGCCGTCAGCTCTGCACTCAACTTTAATCCCCATTATTGAAGTAAGTCTCGCACAGATGCTTCATTTTTGATGTTGTCAACTTCGAAACTTGACGAAGTCTGGCAGAATTGCTTCGTTTTTGACGTTGTCAAGTTCAAAAGTTGAGGACGTCTCGCAGAATTGTTGCGTTTTTGATGTTGTCAAGTTCAAAAATTGAGGACGTCTCGCGGACTAGCTTCGTTTTCAAGCTTGCAGACAGACAGCCAGACAGACAGATAGACAGACTCAATAGACAGATAGATAAACAACTACAAGCACACTACGCTACATTACAACTACGAGTACAAATACTACTACAACTACCACGACACTACAACTACAACTGCAACTTCATCTACGAGTACACTACAGCTACAACTACAACTACCACGGCGTTACAACTACAACTACAACTGCCACTACCAACACAGCTACGACCACAACTACAACTACAACTACAATTATCACTTCAACCCCAACTACTACTGAAACTACCGCTACACTACACTACAACTACCACTACCAGCACGGCTACAAGTACAACTACAATTACAGCTGCAACTACACCACAACCAGACTACAACTACAACTACAGCTGCAATTACAACTACCACTACACTACACTACTCTACAACTACAACTACTGCTGCAACTGCAACTACAAGTACCACTACACTACAACTACAACTACAACTGCAAACTACACGACACCACACTACATTCAGCACTTGTGGGTGAGGTGACCACTGCAACCACTCCAAAAAGCACAACTCTAACCACTTTTGCCATCACAGCAACTCACCTCTCCCATAGTTGTCTATCTTTGAAATTTCCGCCACCGCCTTGTGCGGTACTACTGGCATAAATGATTAACTATAAATGTATACACATCAGCAACGGAATGTTCTCATCCCTGGTTGTTGACTTGTTGAACCCAGACACAACAACCACCGCCACAATGAGGTTCACGACACCAAACCTGGACGTCACATGGACGTCACATGGAATGCGGCGACGAAAATAACAAGATTACAGCATCCCAATACATGATAGAAGACTCACGTCCCACTACCAGTAAAATTGTGAGTGTTTTTTTTTTGTGGGGGGGAAGTACTATATTTCATCGATCACCATCACGCCTACATACACTTGGAGATTAATAATTCTGTTGCGGATGTAAACGACATGATGTGTGTAACATGATGTAACATGAACGGAACAGGCATCCGAAATTCCAAATATGTGCCAATGTATATACAACAGAGGTGTCACAAACAAAGATGGACGAACTGCTGCAAGAACATGCAAAAACAGTTTGACGGGTGAAAACGGGTCCGGCAAGATGCACAACAGCTCAAATCTTCCAAAGTAGGAAGTCCCCATCCTCTTCCGTAGTGGTTTTGCCGGACGTCGTCCCACACTTCCATGCGTTTCTTGTCTGCACATTGCTAGTGCAAATGCAAGAGAAAATCTAAACATCAAGTGTGCGTGCTTGTGCAAGAGGAGGTCTGATAACGTAGCGTCAGGTAAGTACAAGCGCACGTGCCAGAGAAGATCTGACACAGTACAACCAAGTATGTGCGTGCGAAGATCTCAAAGCAGTGCAAGTGCAGGAGAAGATCTGGTGGCACCAAGTATGCGTGCAAGTGCAAGACGAGGTCTCACAGTGTAGTGTCCAGCATGCGTGCAAGTAAGTGCAAGAGAAGATCTCACAACCTAGCATCAAGAATGTGCGCAAATGCCAGAGAAAGGCCCCTTGGCGTAGCACCAAGGATGTGTGCAATGCAACACACGATTTCATGGCGTAGCATCAAGTATGTGTGCAAGTGCAATAGACTATCTCGTTGCATTTAGTATATGTGCAAGTGCAAGAGGAGATCTCATGGCGTTGCATGCAGTATGTATGCAAGTGCAAGAAGAGATCTCACCATAATTGGCAAAGTTGGTGTAGTTCACAGGGCGTTACGGATGTTTTCGGTAGGTATATTGAACTAGGGTTCGACTGAACCAACAAACACAACTGGGGTGCACAACATTGTACACACATGTACAGACCGAGAATATAACACCCAATGTTAAAATCGGTTTGCTTGATCATCGATCCTCACCTTGTCAGTCTCCCACCAGTGGTAGCCTGTTCTAACAGCAAACCTGCACATCATCTGCTTTGTTCTTGCCATCGTGCCATGTTTCTTTTCTGGAACGCGCACCTCACCAACATTCACCAACCAATGAAATGCGGTAAACACATAACACAGATTTAACAGACCTTTTCAGCCAAGCTATTAGAAAATATGCAACATACATAGATGTGCAGTTTATGCTTGGATCTATCGCATTCTACTAAGATACTCACGTGCTAATGACGTCTTGAAACACTCCCATGGTAAAAGCCATGGGAACATAATTGTTGTAGATTATAGCATTATAACTATAACTATCGTTAAGCCGGCTGAATTGGAATATTTGACTCGCAACCTGACAGGTTAGGATGATTGATTCCCATAGTTTTTGTCTATGTTCTTCTCCAGCCATCTTTGCGCACAGGCAGCACCATGAATCGACTCACCATTGTAAGTGATCCAATGCACCATGTCATGCTGCTGATTAAATCAACATATTTTATATTTATTTTATTGGTTAATACCTTTCGAACCGAGCTATCATATGTAACCCTCACCTTCCGGTCGCCAGTAAGATCGGTAACTAATCCCAAATTCGGAAGGTCCAATCACATTGGGTACCTATTTCCCAAGGTAAATAGAAGGTTAGGGTATGATCCCATTATATAGAAATGAAATGGTAGTTTTACCACCCATATACCACTTTCAGGGACCAAGAAGCCTCAAAGATTATCCCAATCATTTGCAAATTTTCCAAAGAACTCACCATCAATGACCAAGAAAACTCCATCAACTACCCTCTGGTAAACTAACATAGCTATGGAAAAACACCATGTTTAATGGGAAAACTCACTATAAATGGCCATTTTCAATAGCAAACTGTTAGTTTACCAGAGGGTAATCCCATGAAATCCCCAAGAAATTTCCCACTCCCGCACCATTTCTTCGGCCCAGCAGCACGATGGTCAACTGCGATCCCACGAAGATGATGGCGGTCGCCGGGTGTTCCGTGATGATGGGCACGGCTATTTGGCCCCAACCTGGGGTGGTCGGGAAGGTGTTGGTCCAAGAGGTAACACATACTGGGATTAAAAACCCTTCAAAGCCAATATAGGTGATTCATGATAGCATAAGTTTAGCAGAAGTAAGTGGGTTTAGTTCACTGACATACAACTGTACTAGATCTACTAGGGTTAAACACTAAACCAGCAAACGTCAATAGGGGGCACGACCTTGTGGGGATGGAAACAACCCAACATTGGTGGGATCATGTGGGATCATTCGGATGTTTACCATTGTTTACCCCTTTATCGCTGGGTGGTTTATTTCATGGAAAACCCATGAACAGGATGGGGGTTCAACCCTGAGCCACGTGTGGGAAGCAACATCTTCCAACACACGAATCCCGAAACAACCTTTGAGGCAACCAAGTTTTTCGGGATGGACAATCTCGCTTCAACCAACAATCACATTGATTCCAGAGTGTTTGTTGATCCTTCACTATACCTCCTATATAGAAATCCTGTTCTAGTGCTAGTTGGATCTATTCATTTTGGTGTTACCGGATGGTATGACATAGGGAGATGGAATTGAAATCCCAGCACCCAGACTTTGACAAGAAACTGTCACCTGCGATAACTGTCTTGAACAGTAGCAAGTTTGCGGACATCACGTCGGATGTTGCCCCTGAATTGCGGCTTGGCGAAGGTGAGATCCCTGAATAGCATTGTCCAAGATGTGTTTTTTCGTTCATATAAATGCCATTAAATGCCCATTCATGTGGTATGTCCATGGATTTCCCGTGATTTCCCATTGCCTCGTCTGATTACCTTGATTACGCGGGTGTAAAAAAAATAAATACCCTCCGGGAAATTGTTACATAGCGACTGAACATTTCCATAGAAATCGTTGATTTACCCATGAAAAATGGCGATGTTCTAAAGCTACGTTAGTTTACCAGAGCCTGTCGGGTCCATGTGATGTTCCCATGACCAGTCCACTATGCCATTACTGGTTGGGGTAAACTATGGTAAATATGGTGAATATATGGTTTTGGGGAGAGGTTTTACCAAAATCTAATGTCATCTGGTTGGTGATTGAAACCTACCCCTCTGAAAAATATGAGCTCGTCAGTTGGGATGATGGCATTCCCAATATATGGAACAATAAAATTCATGTTCCAAACCACCAACCAGATTATAACTTGGGTACCACATGTCATGATTTTCTTGCATTAATGAAAATAAAACCCTATGAAACTTGCAATGTTTGGGGTGGTCTTCAAAGCACCTCAGGACCTGAATGGACCATCCACTGAGCGCGCCGTGACTCGCCAACTGTGTCGAGTGTCCCGAACAGAACTCGCAGCTGCTGAACAGCGTGCCGTCCCGGGCCATCATTTCCTGACCAAGCTCTGGAGAACAAATGGAAGAACCATCTCTCAAAAACTGGGAGTTTTTCTCAAGCCACTGCACACACTAAAACAATGACGATTGGTTCTCAATGTTTTTCAAAGGTCCTACGACACACAATGGCGCTGGAAAGAGCAAACAAATAAGCCATTGTAAATGACAATCCGGAAAACATGTCGAAACCAAATGATTTGGCGGACCATCAAGAGTAAAACCACAAGTTTGTTGGTTGGTATTGTTCTCTTCTATACTTTAAATGCACTGCTGCTGGCTATCCATAAAGAATGCATGCCCTGAATTGTCATAGGTGGTTGCATGGGTTGGAGAAAAACCTCATGCGGCCTTCAGCCTTCCCCCCCCGGTCCTGCATGATAGGATGCACCACCTTGCCACGCAGCTTGGTTTGATGGAAGAAATGACATCAGCTATGCTCAACCCCCCAACATCCCTCAGCATCCCTCAGCATCCCTCAACTTTGGGATATTCAATCATCTTTGTTGATCTCCTTCATGTGCTCTGCATAACCTTAGAACCTTAGCAGCAATTCTCGACCAGCATCAAAATGATTCCGCCATGAAGCAAATAAGTCTTCCATGCCCCCAACCAACATAGACCCTGCCAAATAGGGGGTCGGAAGGGTACTTTCTTCCACAAAGTGGCGATTCATGATTCTCAGGGTTGAGTTGTTTTCTGGGGAAATGGCAACCCTCCAAAAGAATGAGACACATCCAAACTACATATCACAGGTTTACCACACAGAAAATCTAACTGCATCTAACTGCTGGCAAATGTATCTAGCTAACCTGTTATATAACATGTGTGCTGTCTCGGGTTTGCATTAAACAAAAAACAACTTCCCTGTTGACACAACTTATCCCCGCCAGCGGCGATGAGAAGCAGAAGCACCTCCACTATCAACATGGCCCAGCCAGTCATCACCTGGTTGGCGGCAGTCAAAGTCAAATTTGCGGTATTTTTGCATAGGTGCTATGCTATTGCTATACAACACCAGGACAAAAGTTCTCTCTCTTGACTAGCTGCTGCAACCCTCTCCCCTTAGACTCCTGACAGGTTCCATATGAATCACATGGCGGGTGGCGGATCAGCTGGCTTGTTAAAAAAAAATACTTCACTTCGAATGATCCCCACCATGGCATTTATACATTTTCTTACTGGCAAATCTTCTGGCATTCTATCTGACATATCTTCTGGCATTCTATCTGGCATATCTTCTGGCATATGTTCTGGCAAATCTTCTGGCATTCTATCTGGCATATCTTCTGGCATATCTATCTGGCATATCTTCTGACATTCTATTTGGCATTCTATCTGACATATCTTCTGACATTCTATTTGGCATTCTTCTGGCATATCTTCTGGCATATCTTCTGGCAAATCTTCTGGCATTCTATCTGGCATATCTTCTGGCATTCTATCTGACATATCTTCTGGCATTCTATCTGGCATATCTTCTGGCATTTATCTGACATTTTATCTGACATTCTTCTGGCATCTGACATTCCATGTTGAGGTCCGGCAGTGCCCACTGGGATCTGGAGCTCGTGGTTGAGGTCCGGCAGTGCCCACTGCGACCTGGAAGTCGCGGTTGAGGTCCGGCAGTGCCCACTGCGATCTGGAAGTCGCGGTTGAAGTCCGGCAGTGCCCACTGCAACCTGGAAGTCGCGGTTGAGGTCCGGCAGTGCCCACTGGGATCTTGAGCTCGCGGTGGAGGTCCGGCAGTGCCCACTGCGATCTGGCGCTCGCGGTGGAGGTCCGGCTGTGCCCACTGGGATCTGGACTGCGAGGAGGAGGAGGCGGAGGAGATGGAGGAGGAGGATGCGGAGGCGGAGGAGGAGAACAGCTCTGATAAAATCTAACAACCCTCAGTGGGGAACAGTGTATTCCGCCTTGAAATACGGTCCGCCACGCAGGCCACGCAAAATTAGGATAATTGATCCACGGCTCAGGATCATGATGCTTATAGGACTCTAAAGGAAAACACTTTCTTCCTCCTGATATGATGTAATATAAATATTATAATTATATATATAATAGTACATTTAAAATGATTACTACATGGCGGTTGATCTAAATTCTTTCATCCACAAAAGGCCGTTCTGCGCGAACGAAAACATGTAACTTTTGCGAAACGTTCGCGAACTCCATGCTTATCTTTCACGGGACCTATGCGGGCCGACAATGCCTTTTATGAAGAAAAGTCAATCCCTACCAAATGATCATAGCCTAGTGAACCTACCACTAGCATCACAGAATGTGTTTTCCGACCGATTGTTGCTTGTTGGGTAAACAACTGATTCCATACGCTTCCTGGGCCACCCCATGCATATATTAGTAGATTGAATATGGATGTTCAAACAAGATTCCCATTTGAGTGAAGTGTGTTTTTGAATCATGAAATATCCATATGTGTTCGCCTCCGAGCGGTTCCGGGATGACTATGTTGTTGCTCCTAGCTCATAACCATGTCAAGTCATTTAAATAGTATATATGCGCGGTGTTCCTTCCTGTTAACTAGCTAGTCCGATTTCCCATCAACGTGAATGCATTGTTTGGTGACACCTGACCAAAAGGATCAAGGGTCATGAATCTAAGGGCAGGCCGAAAAAGCGGTTCTACATGCTGACATCTAATGTACTCTAATATGTACATACAAAATCATACAAAGTGGTGCCCCAGAGATAGCTAAGTTGGTTTCGTTTACTGGTAAAACATGGTAAAACAGTTGGGTTTCTGGTAGAAAATAGAACTCAACTAATTCGGTTAAATCAATACCACCTTGGGAGATGTGAGCCTGGCACTGGGAGGATCAACCATCAACCCTTGGGGCCCAACCAACCCAGCCAGCCAACCAGCCAGCCAGCTTCCTACTCAGCGCTATCCCTGGGAATTTGTGAGTTAGGAGGGCCTTTGAACAGCACACACTGTCTGCATCTAGGGCGCCACGAAACACAGAAGGAAACACCAAAGCAAGGTACCTCAGCTGCAACAAACTCGGGTTTGGCTGAAAAATGGCTTACAAATTGAGCACACGGATTTTGTGTTGTTGTTTTTTGGTGGGTAAGCATTCAAAAACATGGTCAGTAGGTTTAAGTCATACCCATTTGGGCGCCGCTTGGTCTTGAGCCAGGGGTAACATTATCTCCAATTCATGGGCTTTGGGTGTGGCATTCAGACTTGTAATTCTATATTGTTTTTGCGGCGGACAACTATGCTGATGAAGTGGGGGGGGCAAAACAAATCAAAGGTACAGTTGTTCAATGACTGGAGGTATCGCACACAATAAGGCCGCATTCTGCGGTTATATCATCACTGTACAAAATCCTTACATGACATAGCCCTTACATATGATAGGTACATCCGTTTGGAGGCCAATGTTTTGGAAAACCAATACTTTTTCTGCTATTCGCATTTCCCGACCGGCTCGCAAAGGGAAATCCAGCGTTTCAAAACATGCACCACCATTTGCAACTACATCTTGATAGTTTAACATGGAGCCCCTGATAAACGGGATAATTATGCAAATAACATCAAATGACCGAATGATCCCAATGAACGGGACTTACCAGTCAGCTTCTTCAACAACAAAATCCATCTCAATACCGGTACAGGGACTTGCTCACTAAGTACAGGAATCAGGGACTTGCTCACTAAGGTTGCTGTATATACTAAATAGTACTAAATATAAACACCACATTCCTGGAATAGGGGTTCATTTCATTTCATTTCCATGTGTGCCAAAAAGACATTTGCGGGTCGTCCAGGATGGACATGAGCTGGTCAACGACACCCGGCAGCCTATCTGCAACTGGGGGGAACTAACCTACTTACCCTCTGGAAAACAAACATATCTATTGAAAATCACCATTTTTAATGGGTAAACACACTGTAAATGGCAATTTTCAATAGCTATGTTAAATTACCAGAGGGTACTATTCCTGGCTGTGAAGCACTTCAAGTAGGCACCTGAACAAATAACACGTGATATGCTTGTTGTTCTTGTTGTTGTTGTTGTTGTTCTTGTTGTTGTTGTTGTTGTTGTTGTTGTTGTTGTTGTTGTTGTTGTTGTTGTTGTGCGTTTGTAACGCTGCCACAGCCTGGGCCCACCGGGGTGAGTGGCTGGAGGCAGCTTTCGGGGCGCCAGAGCGCGAGAGATTTCTAAGGAACTCGACGTAGCCAAAGGCCAGGTCATGATCAGTGTGAGCAACTGATCCACCAACATGCTGTACTAGGTACAGTGCACAGGCATCCGCCACAGCAGAAGCTGCCTCTCTTCAAGGCGTGGGTACATTAACGGATGGTCTAGCACCATCTGCACTCAATTCGATGACGGGCCCTCGCCCATCATGCATTGAAGTGAACCAGTGGTAGCCAGTGAAAGATGTGCTCAAC